GCGGCATTCTTGGCGTCGCTCCTTAAGGTTAACGACGACTGACTCTTGGACACTTTGTCCGACGGCCGCAGGAGTTCTTTTAGCCGTCCGGCCAGTGCCCCAACATGCGGAGAAGCGAGGATCCGTCCATCGCTGCTTGCAGCTTTAATTTATTTTCTTGATTCTCAATTTCAACTTGTTGATATGATAGTTTGGCAAAAAAGTGAAGGTAGAAGCAAAATCAGGTGGTCCAGGCTCGCCCTCTTTAGCCGTATCATTCCTGTTCCTTCTTTTCTTTATATAGCACCATTTAAATAATTACTGTCAAACGGTGTTCTGATGTGGTCAAACATTCTTAACTCCAACTAAACCATCAGGCTCGTAAATGGCGCAGTAAGTATTTATTTTTATTACAAAAAAAGCCTGCCTTTTTAAAGCCAGCAAAGACCTAAAATGCCAGTAGATCAATCAAGACTATTTTGTTTATGGCTCCACTGAGGAAATGGGCCCAAGACTAAAAACCACACCACGCTAACCCACTGAAATCAAACAGTATTTGTCGGTTTGGAGAGCTCAATCCATTGTTCACCCCGTTGTTCCCCCATCCCCTTTCCCACACATCGTTTGGTCCCTCCTGCGGTTTTGGGAAGGATCGTGTCCAACATTGACATTTGCTCTCACCCACTCGGCGGCTCTGTGCTCCTGAGGAAGTCAGCACGCCATTTTGCCGCACGGGGAGCCGCTGGTATTCAGTATGAAGCTGCCATTAACCAAAAGGAGTCACAAATGGTTGCATAATTGAACGACACACAGACATCTACAACACTATTAAAATAACCATGGGGAAGCTGCAAGAGCTTCAGGTCTTAAATTCAAGCTTTCTTTCCTTTATGAAGCGTATAAAATGTTGCTCAGTGAAACTTCATCTGTTTGTTCTTATCATTCCTGAAAACTCTTAGTCCTTAGCTTAAATTACCCAAAGCCTCACAACTATACACATAACAGCAACCTAATGGTGTAAACGGATGATTCCAGTTTAGTACGACTTGGTTGTGATGACATCACAGTGTTCCCACATCCCGACAATAAGTGACGCAATCATATCATCTGCCAAAGTGATGATGGCCACAACTGCCCTATTAATGAAACAAAAACTTGTTTTAACAAATGCACCAAAATGACATTAATCTCTTTGCCCTCTACACTGGCCTTTAGAATTAACTCTTAATCCGGAACAGTGGACATGACAACACATAATAATGGCATCTACTTCACAAACTTGTCTTGGGTCTTTCATTACACTGATATGCAATATTAAGCACATACAGATCACAAGGCGGATGCATCTTTGATTTCAGCCGGGCTAAAGCCTGAGGGTGACTTGGTTCCCGATGCGAATATCCTGATTTTAGTTTAGAAGAGATATCAGGGTTTGGGGAAGTGTAAGACTTAACAAGAGCAAGTTACCAAAGACGTTTGCTTGTTATTGATGAGGTCAGCTTAGACCACACAGAAAGTCGCAGCGCTTCCACTGAAGAGAAACACAAAAAAGTGAATTTATTTCTGTTTGGGTTCAGAGAATCAGTTGTATAATTGAACACAGTCTTGAAAAAAATCTCTTATTTTCGTTCCTCTTTTTTTATATCACACATAATTATAACTAACCAACTTTTTCTCTGCCGTAACCACTTCCAAAGTGCAACTCTGGAAAATAAATTCCCCTCCAGTTTAAAATATCGTTTTGTACGTTGAACTAAACTGAAAGCTATTTATCTCACTGCAGCTACAGGGCAGCGCTCTGTGGGTCTTTCTGCTCCTCTTTCCCTGCTAAACCCTAAACACGCACGACAGAATAGCTCATTGTTGGGGACAATAGCTGAGTCACAAGCTTATAGTGTGCATAGTCCAGGTATGCAGCTATAATCTCCACTGGATAACAACTGGATCTTGTGAACTAATGAATAGCACCCCTCATAAAGTAGTTACACATTCAAATAGTTAGAATATTGCGAGGTGAGAGGTGAAATGTGACTAGAAACTGAATATAACATCACTCTACATGATGTAAATAAAGAGCTATATGTCATTCTGCAACTCATCTTCATGACGCTTTTAGTTTAGTGTCAGGTGTAATGCCAATACTTTAATTCTCAGAGTGAATAGAGACAAGCTATTCTATATCTATTTACATGATCTGAGAAATCCATTTATATATCAACGCTTCAAAGATAAAAGCAGATTGTGACATTTTCATCATAACACATGCAGGTACATGTTGTAACAAATACTAGATTATACCTTTGCTCCATATACTTTGAAATAAGGTATCCTCTGTTACTTTACGTTCTTCTCAGCATCTAGGACTTGGAAAATGATGACATCTGCGGATCTACTCTTTTTGCTTGGAGGGCAAATAGCTGACTGAGACGGAAAATGTGTCCCTCCCACAGTTTCCAGGCTATCAGGTGAGAGAGGTGTGCAGTAGGTACTAAAGAATGGAGGAAAGTAAAAGTAGGTGCAGATGCAATAAATGTGAGATACAGCCACATGTGTGGCAACATTGGGGAAAGAGTTGTTTTCTATCAGTACATGATACACTATTTACTGATACATCCTCATGTCTAATCTCTTTTTCTCCGCAGTGTGTGTGTCTGAGTGCATTTGTTTCATTCATTAGACAATGGACAAATGTAAGAGCTCATGCTACAGCAGACTTTTTTTTATGTTGCGTGTACAAATAAATAGTCAGACATGCATCTGCCTGATTGTGGGATTTCATTAACTCACTTTGCAAAAAGTGGTGTCTTCATGATCCACCCTGATTAATACCAGCAGAGACTCATTTCTGGTTAATAGCTCACTCAATAAGTACGGGAATTTGAATCAAAGGATAAACTTGCATTATTTAGAAAATGATTATTAGAAATGACGCCGTGGTAGTGTTTGCAATATGTGAATTCAAGCATGTGGTGACCACATGAAATCCTGTTTCTATGTTCACACAAGAAAAGCGGGCTCACATTTTTAAACGTGAGTGACCCCAAGCAAGCCCTGTCCTGTGTGTGGACCTTTAGCCTTTGAAAAAGTGTGTGTGTGTGTGTGTGTGTGTGTGTGTGTGTGTGTGTGTGTGTGTGTGTGTGTGTGTGTGTGTGTGTGTGTGTGTGTGTGTGTGTGTGTGTGTGTGTGTGTGTGTGTGTTTGTGTGTGAGAAGCAGGTGAGGACTGGTCTTAAAGTGACTGAAAGCCCCACCCGGAACCTTTCTGCCCTCATAAAGGAACTGCTTATTCTGTTGAAATGTTAATGTTGATAGAACACTTTTCAAGACTGGCAGACTGGAAGAAAAAATAAATGATGACACTGAAGCTTAAACCGTGTCAATCATATCTTCTCTGTATCCCGTGAGCGTAAATAGAAAACGTGCAGCAGTCAGTGGTGATAGTGTGTATAAGAGTATAACTTATTTGATGTAATATAAATCCATAAACCTGAGGAGTTATCTTCTCTGTGAATATTTTGTACACACATTTACCAAAGAATTTAGTCAATGTCAGCAAAAACACATGCAAAATGACCATTTCTTGAATTCTGAAAGACATTCTTAAATTACATTACATACAATTTTATTCTATTTCAAATCTGTTAACGTATTTTTTTATGCTTTTAATGACTGTTTTTCTTTAATGTTTCAACGTATCAATGTTCTTAACTGTTTATAAATCTCCTTGCTTTATGTTTGGATGTTTCTAATGGTTTTATTTTTTTTATTGGTGAAGCCTTGTTGTTGAAATGTGCTATACAAATAAAATTGCCTTGCCTAATGTCTGTGATACATATTCAGGCATAACTTATTCCCATTTGGGAGAGGAAATGTCAAATTATATTAAATTAAATTAATTCAGTTGTCCTATTTGTTGATGGTGTTTCACTTGGCTTAAACTGTTTGCTATCCTGCTCTTCCCCCTACTGTGCAATTATGGGATGTCAACCTACCAATATGTAAAGCTTACATTGCATATGCTTTGGTCTGAGTGAGTATTTTAAAATCATCTTCATTTATATGTTACTTAAATGTATACCTCGTCCAACATCCAACAAAAAGGATTCATTTTTGACCAGGTGCATTAAACATAAAATCTCACATTTTGATCAACAAAACTATTCTTAGCCTACTGTACGAAAATGTACTTTAATTCAGAAGTCAAATTAGCCTAATTAATGAATTGATTGATAATTTATATTCTGAATATTGTCAATAATTACAGTTAAAATATGCTTCAAAACCGAGGGGAGGGGAAACAACATAAAGAACACTGGAAGTGGCTTTCTTTTTTTTAAGTACTGATTAAAGACCCTGATGTTTGCCCGCTATTAAAGGCAATTGATATGAATGAGTGGCTGTAACAAAACATGCATTTCATTTTGAATAGGTGTGTTCATGTCCACTGCTCTTCCTCAGGCGAGCTCCTAGATGCTCTGACTTCCAGTTGCTCTTATTGTGGACTGTGTTGAGATCAAACATGACCAGATTACTCTGCTGTGGCCCCGGGAAAAGAAATAAACTCCTTGAGCCCCAAGTGAACCCTCTCTTGATGTTGCCTACAGACCCTCTTAAAGAGAGAACCTCCAGCAGAAATAATTCTTCTCATGTTAGCTGTTTTTTTTCCTTTAATAGTAAACATCCCCAACAAATGCATTGCATTTGCATCAATTTTGTGATACACCATACGTTTGAGCTTTTGCATATCAACAAATTATGTTTTTAAATAAAAGCAGACTGCTTCAATTCAGAAATAGTTATACATTTTATACTTTGCACAATACTTGATGCGAATACTGTGGAAATGTGCTTAAACTCTGCAATAAAGAGGCACGTGCCACGCTGAGAGCTTTTCCATTTATCTGATTAAAAAATAACACCCGTCGCGAGGCGCGGCTCCGCCCACCGCTGACCAAACCGGAAGTGTAGCTGTTGTTGTCACACTGGAAGAAGATGGCTGCCGCTCCGACTTTTTTCAATGAAGACACCGATATTTCAACTTAATTTGGTTTTCTCGCATTGGAGCTACAGTCGTCCGCTATGCAACCCAGAAGGCAAGTCCACCCTGTTCGTTGAGATCCACGTCGCTTCGTCGCTTCGCGCCTCGGACGCCCCAACGTCATCAGCGTAGCTGGGAACTTAACAGTTCAGCCCACCGGGAACGAGCTAGCATGCTAACGTTAGCCGCGTTAGCCTCAACGGTCGGGCAACGACGAGCGCTCGCCTCTGCCCGGCCGCTGTCTTCACTGTGCTCGCAGTCGTCATCGAGCCAGGACCCGGTTCTACGCGGTTCAACCGACTCTCCTGCGCGTGTTTGCATGTGTCCCCTTTGCTGGAGCATTTAAAGTACACGCAAAGCATGAAACAACTCGGATGAAACAGTTTTGCACGCCGGTCGTTTTGCTCGTCTGTAGTGACCTGCCGGCCACACCGAAAGTATCCGCGTTGATGCATCTGTCGCGTGCATTCACTCGTGTGACCCCCCCGCTGTGTTGATGTGCAGGCTGTGAATGGTCACTTTGGGAAGGTGACCGTGTGGGGCAGATTGGACAGCGTCGTCTACCCTCGCTTGCATCGGAGCTGGCGGTGGACCACAATGGTGAGTTTTCTCATCTCGTCCAAGTCCTGTGCAGTGCAGAACCACAGTGGTGCCTTGTAGTGTAACAGCTGGTTCTCGGTGGTGACTCATCTGGTCCATTTCTCTCTTTATTTCCCAAAGCAACAAGTCTTGGAATATGCATTGGATCGAGCTGAGGTAAAGAAATGTATCCCAGTGCACGCATTGCATCGACTGTACGCTTCCCATGTTTGTTATTTGTTTGTTTGTTATGCACCAGCTGTTTCCTCGTACAAATAAATATGTTTTATTATCGATTCAGTACATTGTTGAAAGTGCTCGTCAACGACCAGCCAAAAGAAGAATTTCCACTGGCGGGAGGAAGAGTTTGTATCAGAAGCTCTATGAGCTGTACATCGAGGAATGTGAGAAAGAGCCAGAGTTAAAGGTTTGTGTTAAGTAACTTGACTCTTTGTTATGACCAAGTAGTAACGGCCAAGATTTCAAATCAGATTGATCGGTGAAACCTGTTTTAAATGATTAATTGTAAATATTTTCAGTTTTCTTTCATCATCCATCATCAAACTACTTATTAACATCGTCAAATAAACTGTGGATACTGTGGATGGAAAGCAAAATCATTTTTAATTACTTAAGATTGTACTTGATCATATGGAATATTTGTCTCTTATATCTGTTTTTTGTTTTTCTGAAGAATTTGAGGAGAAATGTGAATTTACTTGAGAAGCTGGTGTCTCAGGAGTCCGTATCATGTCTGGTGGTCAACTTGTACCCCGGGAATGAAGGCTATTCTTTAATGCTCAGGGGGAAAAATGGATCTGGTAAGAGAAGACGATGAAGCATGCCAATGTTATGCAGCTGTGTTCTTCGGGTGATTGAAACACAATAGCCTCATCTGTAACAATCGTGTTCTGTGTCGATTTTTAGATTCTGAAACTATCCGTCTGCCATATGAAGAAGGAGAACTCTTGGAGTACCTAGATGCGGAGGAGTTACCTCCTATTCTGGTGGATCTGTTGGAGAAATCACAGGTATCTGTTTGTTAAGGCCCATCTACAAATGTGCATAAATCATTTCGTTTTTAAAGGTTTTCCATGTATCAAATGTAAATTTAAAATTATTTGAATGTGAGGTATTAATGCACGTACTGTGAAGCACACTCAAGAGCTTCCAATTTTATATTTACGTCTTGAATGTATATATTAGAATAGTTTGTTATTGCTTTGTTATTTTGCCATCATCTGTTGCATGACGCCATGTGCAATTTGTCTCAGGTGAACATCTTCCATTGTGGCTGTGTAATAGTAGAGATGAGAGACTACAGGCAGTCTGGTAACACCAAGATGCCCACCTATCAGAGCAGACACATCCTGCTGCGGCCAACCATGCAGGTAAACAAATAAAATACACGGTAATATCCAATTGTAACTATTGTTGACATGTGTACTTACGCATGTTTATGCATTAGTGCGTTTATAATACATGTTCTATGTGTGAAAGTTTGGTTTGCGAGGCCAGTATCCGTGTGGAAACAAATACTTAAGTGCTGTTTGATTTTGATCTGGAATGAGCGATACGGTAACTTACCATTAACCTTTAATGTAGAAAAGCTGAGTTGTTTAAATGTGTATTATTGCCCCGCAGACTTTGATCTGTGATGTCCATGCCATGACCAGTGACCACCACAAGTGGACGCAGGTATTGTGTCAACTCTCTCAATGAGAAAAAAACCCCACACATCGGACGTCTTGATTTGCCCCTTTGCCTTCGCTAATAAACGTTTGCTTGACCGTGATGGCAGTAAGCGCCATCACATTGCACCTGTGCGTTCTGTAGCCTCTGTTTCTCTCTTCTTTAGGATGACAAATTACAGCTGGAGAGTCAGTTGATTTTGGCCACAGCTGAACCTCTGTGCCTGGACCCCTCCATTTCTGTCACCTGCACAGCCAACCGCCTGCTGTACAACAAGCAGAAAATGAACACTCGCTCCATGAAACGGTACTGAACGCGCTCACGCGCTGCTTAGCTCACTTTGTGTTCTGTCACACAAGCAAAGGAATTGCCCGTCTTTGTTTTGTTTTGTTTTTGAAATAAAGGCTCTGAAGTTGTGAAGAAAAACAGTTAGTGAATAAAGCGAAATACACGATGATTCTAAGTCACCTCATTTGTATCGTAGGTGTTTCAAGAGGCACTCTCGAGCCGCCCTGAACAGGCAGCAGGAGCTTTCCCATCTTCCACCACAGCTACGACTCTACGACTACCTGCAGAGGAGGAAGGAGAGGAAACCTTCTCCCGCCGCTGACCTTAAGATCTCAAAGATCGGAAATGTGAGTAGTCAACATGCCCGCAATTTAACAAGCATATATATGGGTATATGTGTGCAGTGCACATCTGCAGATAAGACAAAGTTGATGGAGGCTGTATTCTATTTGTTTGATTTTCGTGTTTCTATCCATCACACTGATCCCATCAGTTCAGTTGTGCCACTTTTTCCCTCGGGCCCTTTGCTTCGTTTGTTGTCTGTTGGGATCTGCTAACGTACTTCAGCATTGCTTAATGCATGCCGTCATAGTGTGCCCTCCCTTGGTTTTGCTGATGTCTCCTTTCTGTTTTTCTCTTCGTTGCTTCCCGGCTGTCATCACTGGCAGTGTGTGGACATGTGGAAGCAGAGCAACTGCCAACTATCTGTACCAAAGGAAATTGATGTGAGTCGCCCGATGGTCCTCTACAACACGGTCCCCTAAACACTGAAGCCAACACCACTTAAAACTAACTCAGCTCTTAGTTTGGCAGTTACAGCAAGGGCGTAACGAACCAGATGGAATTGTTGGTGTGTGTCTTTAGGTGGAGAAGTATGCTGTGGTTGAGAGATCTCTGCAGTTGGAGGACTCTCAGCCCACAACTGTGATCTGGCCTGCTGAGGTACGTGTGACAGCAGATTAACACCATGAGGGTACTGATCAATGTGGCTGTTTGCTGTTATTACTAAAGAGAGAGTAGCTGTGTGTAACGCTTAATGTGGAAAATGTTCCTCCTGCCTTAGGCACAGAGCCACTTGGTTTGGTATTCAAAAAAGGTGTTTGTTTAGTGCTAGCAATGACAACGGCGTGAACTCAGAAAATAAAGTTCCCAAGTGAACGGATATCCTTAAACCAACACATTTGAAGAAACATAAAACTGACGTGTAACACTTTCTTTACACAGGAAGTCGTAGATGACTACACGTTTGAATGTGAAGTTGGGGGCCAACCCCAGATGACCAAGGTGTCCATCTTCCAGTCAATGGGAGACCCGCTGGTGTATGGGAAGATCTACTGCGCTAAAGAACCAAAAGCCGAAGAGGACAGCTCAGATCTCAAGCTCATACATTCCCCGTAAGGATGGCCTGTGATGCCACAGGAGCACTAGCATTCGAGAATGAGTGATCAAGACCTCATTTTAAATATTAACCTGAATTCACGTCGTCTGTTTTGTCTCATTCACAGTTTCCTCATAGGCTCCAAGATAGATGCAGATCGGTGAGTCCTCCTGTTCGCCGCTTTGGTTGAACGTCCTGTCGAATGGTCCGTTTTTAGGGATGTGTTATTGGGAAAGCATGGTATAAATAAATGATGTGTTATGTCTGTTTCGTAGGTTTCTTACTCAGTACAAAGGAGTGTATGAGAGCGATGTGAAGTGCGAGGTCAAGATGTCCCATAACTCAGGTAGCGTGGGACAGGGGCCTCCCTCTCCAAGCAAAGACGAGGTAAGTACTTGCCAGTGGAAGTATGAGGTTTGCAGAATTACTCTTCCCTTTGAATAGGGACACCTCTACAGATTCAGCTTACACAAGTTGCTTCATAATAGAAGGAAAAGATTTAAATTTCCATAAATAAGCATTTGAAGTGTATTGAGCCTATTGAGCAAACTGGTTTGAATGTCATCTGCAGGGTGACGGTATTCCTCCACTGGTCCAGACGTCTGTTTTGGGAAAAGGGGGGAAGCATCGACCCCCTCCCATCAAACTGCCTTCTGGATCAGGCAACAGCTCCTCAGGTACACCTGTTAAGTTTGACAAAGATTAATGGGCAGACATGCAGTGGCCGTGCGTACCTTCTTTGAGCAGGTTGGTATAAAACAAACACACAAGGAAGGGAAATGTGGATCGGTTGCCTCATTTGTGTAAAATAAAGTCATATGGTTATAAAGCGATAAAGTTTAATCTGTTAGGCTGGGTTTAGGTTTGTCTTCTAGCCGGAGCGGATCCACAATGTTTCAATGCTTCGTGCTTGTGGTGTTGAAACGGGGAACGTACGTATCTCAACGTAGCTCTTTTATTCCTCCAGGTAATCCATATAGTTCACAAACCACCAGTAGTCTACTCAAGTGTCCTACGCCCCCTCCAGCCAAAAGCCAGTCTCTGAACAGGAAGCACTCCATGGAGCTGAGCCAGGTGGGGCTCCTGTCACCTGCCTCCCTCTCCCCCATGGGCTCCACACAGAGTAAGTAGAGCTGAGTGCAACTGGCAGCTGTGCGAACGCCTCGTACCAGATTGTCTTAAGTGAGCTCTTGTCAAGCCTCACGTTTTCCAAGTCTAGAATTATTTCTGACAAATTATGAAAAATGACCGTGACGTGGTTCCAGGTCTTTGGAAATATGGAAGAGCACAGAAGGAAGAAAAACGCAGAGACGTATTTGATACTTGACAAGTAGACAGGAATTGCATCAGCACTAGCACTGTGGCAATTATGTATTCTGAGCAAACCCATCTGTTCAGCACGTTGCCAGCCAAAGAGTGGAGGTTGTGACCAGAGCCTTATAAGTTAACTTTTCAGCTGTTGATTCCTCTGGCCATTGTTTGACATTTTCAAATAAAAACTACACAGAATTGCCAGCATTGTAAATCTCATAGCTGAATTTAGCCCTCTCCGTCGTCTGCATCGTTTGATCTTGACCCTCCCCCCCCTCTCTGTTTCAGGATCGGGGACCCCCAAGTCCTCCACCCCCACACCCACCAACACGCCATGCTCGACACCGCACCCCGCCGACGCCCTCTGCGCTCCTCTCTCGTTGACCCCCACCCCTTCGGATCCCCCCATGCTCCAGAGCCAGTCGCAGCCCGCCCTCCTCACGCCGTTCGCCCAGCAGCAGCTGGCTCTCAGCCAGCCGATGCCCGTCATGTCCATTCCCCTGCCCACCATGGGCACGTCCATCACCACGGGGACCACCTCGTCGCAGGTCATGGCCAACGCGGCGGGGCTCAATTTCATCAACGTGGTCAGCTCCGTCTGGTAGGGATGAGATCTCCAGGTCTCCGATGCCTCTCTTTTACCCGCCAGTCGCTGTCACTCTTCATGACCACCCCGTACTGTTTGTGTAGCAGTCCTCAGACCTTGATGAGTGGCTCCAACCCCATGCTGGCTCCCGGTCTTAACTTTAGCGGAATCCTTCCACCTGGAGGACTGATGCCCACCATGCAGTCCGCGGCGCAGGCCGGTAGGAGATTTCAATGCAGTGTCGCAAAAAGTATTACTTTAGTGGGTAATTAAACATGCTAGGCTAGCGGAGTGCAGGTTACCCTGCCAATAAACTCCCCCCGCTGACATTGCATTCAATTCCAGCCCCATGGATGCTGACCCTGATTAGACTGCTGTCTGAGGACCCCATTTTACTAAAAGAATGCTGTCATAGTTTTAAAATGTGCTGCATATCCAGGTCCAGTAAAAGAGGCCCAGTAGGCTCTAATGATACAAACCAGATAAGTTGATATATTAAGGAAACTTGTGTATGTCTCTACTATCGATTTGTGTTCCAGGGAGTCCTTTTGGCCTGAACAGCAGCGCTGGATTGAGACCACTGAACCTACTGCAGGTATGTGTTCCAGCTAGTCTGTAAGGCTGCTAGTAGAATGCACATGGTGTTTGTTTGCTACAGCCGCTGTCCTGATCCTGCACCTCTGTTGCTGCACCTGGAACAGTGATGAGATATGTGTTTGAATCGACGACACAGCGCTATTTCCTCGCACTCTGTACTGTTTGATAGCTTTGTTAATTCTCCTGTTTCCCTCTGCTCTTGTCCACTTTTCTTTGCTTACATGTGCATCATTCCTTTCCCATCTGCCTCTCCTCTCTGCACCTCCTCATCTCCCCTTCTGTTCCTCGTCAAATTTTTGTACGTTGTACGTGTGTGTGTGTGTGTCTGTGTTAATGTCTCCAGATCCCCACTGGTCCTCTCATCTTTAACCCTCTGCAGCAGCAGCAGCAGCTGTCACAGTTCTCCCCACAGCAGAGTCAGTCGGCCACCTCCAGCCCTCAACAACAGGGAGAGATGGTGAGACGCACAATTGCATTCACATGCAGTTGCATACAAACACACACACACACACATATACACACAAATGATATAGTCAAGTTGAGAACAAGAATTTGACATTGCTTGAATGTTCCGGTTATAGCCAAGACCTGCAGATCTTTGAAATGATCTCATGACATCTGTTAAGGCGCTCTTTGTCGTACTGAAGCAAGTTGCAATGAATAATGGGAGAAAAGCCCAGAATGCATTGGTGCCAACGCAACACTGACATGTTCAAGAAAAGGCTGTAGCAGAAGCTGTAACTACTGTCAAAACACCTCATAACCACATAATAGCTGGTTCTTCAGACAATCATCTTTTAAAACTCAGTCTTGATAATGTTCTTTGTCTGGGTCTTTGTAAATAACTTAAACCAATGCTGGGGCTCTTGAAGGAAAAAGTGTTTGAATCTTTAAAGATGTCAAAAACACCAGAGAGCTGTTTTAATTGATTGACTTTTAAAAATGTATTTTTATATAAATTACAGTTGATTGGTCGACCATTGTGGTGCAGGACTGTACACGTTGCCGCTTTAGTCTTGGTAGGGTGAGGATTTTTGTGTGTGTGTGTGTGTGTGTGTGTGATGACCTCACTGACCTGTTTTTTGTGCCTGACTGCTTTTGCAGGGGGATCAGGGGTGCGATCAAAGTTTAGGAAACCAGCAAACAGCGGTCATCAACCTGGGAGTCGGAGGCTTCATGTCTTCTCAAGCAGCAGGTATGACCAACACACACACACACACAGACACCCAAATACACATCAACAGCACACGCAAGTCCTCTAAAACATTTCCCTTTTGATTATTCCGTTAACCTTGAATTGACATCATACCCCTAATAAGATGAGATGTCCTCATGTATTAATTCATACGTTTTGTATATTAGGAGTCAGGGTATGTAACGGCATATGATAATGACACCGTGTCCGTCAGCGTAGCATGTGACAACTGACAGGAGGGACTCAACTTCCTCTTCTTCTCTGCTGCATTCTGTTTTTTTATTTTACTTTTGTTGTTTTCTTTTGTCCCCACCCGTATTTCTTTCCTTGCACCACTGCCTTCTCAACTTGCCCTGCTCACTCCCACCTGTCGGGCCCATCCCATTTATGCTATTTCTACCTAAAAATGTCTGTGCACACGGCCATTCACCGGTGCTGTTTGTTGGCCTCCCTGCTTCCTCTTTTGCTCTTCTCCTTCTTTCATCTTATCTCTCTCCATGACTATGTGTGGTTGAACATCACTGAAACCATCCACCCCTCCCTTACCACCCCCCCCAAATTCATCCCCCCTTTTGTGTGTGTGTGTGTGTGTGTGTGTGTGTTTTCTCTCTCCACACTTTACTCCGTTCCTTCTCCTGCTTCACTCTCTCTTGCCGCCACATCCTTCCCTTTGGGGTTCCCTCTCTCCCTCCTCCCCCCCTTAGTGCTGTCCCAGTTGGGCTGTGGGCTGGACGGGTCTGCGTCCCCGCTGCCTTCTCCAAGGCTTCAGCAGCAGCACCAACCACAGATCCAAGTAATACAGCAACTTTAACATCTATATACACATGCACATACAACGTTAAGAGCTGCGACAAGATTCACCAGCCAGCTTCCCATGCCTTTCTTTAACAGGCAGGCACGTATAGCACAGGTGCTTTTGTGTAAGCATAATGACATACATATGTTTATTATTCACTACTGAGAAAAATTTTAATAAAAAAGGGAAACCACAAACAGCCGTTTACTGTATGTCACAGAATAAAATACAACTGTGGCCCCTTGGAAGCAGAATTTTATGGGGAACATTTTTATTTTTGTTGAATGTTGTATACAGTAAAAAATCTGAGAACATAATTCTAATTTTTACTTTAAATTGTAGGTGAAACCATATTCCCAGAGGGCCTGATTCTCATCAAGATGTTTTTGTTATAGATCTACTCTAACTTGTGTTGTATGTTTGGATAATATGTTGTTTGATAAAGATACAGCTCAGCAACGCACACACACACACACACACACACACACACACACACACAGAGCTTGTGGCACTTCCAATGGCAGCAACTAACAGCGTGGCCAGCTGGGAGGCATGTTCAAAGCTTTTCGCGACAGGATAGAGAATAGTAAATGTCAGTTGGTGCTGCTGAAGTGCTGACAGCATCATGAAGGATGAGAGGTGACGGACTGTGAGCATGAATGTTGAGGTGTTTCAAGATCGTTTTTTTTTTTTTGCCCAGTTGAAGTTGCTGACTTACTCTGAGCAGAAAGCACGGTTGCCCCCTGCATGTAGGTCTTTGCCAGGAGCACAGGCAATGATCTGTGGCGCCCGAATGCCACTGGCGCTGCTTGACTGCTTCCTGCCTCACTCCCAAACTCACCCAAACCTCCAAATTCTTCATCTTTCTTCTTCTTCTTCTCCCTCCCCTCTGCAACCCATTAACCCCTCTACTGTGTTTCTCTGCACACTCCTCCTGTATGTCGTACCAGGCCTTGGTTCAGCTTCACTAACCCATGAAACTTGTGGATAATTATAGTTTCATAACACAATACATTATGCTGGTAAGCTGAGACATCATTTTAGGAAGTGTGCTCGACAGTGAATGCCTTTTTGAACCATGACAGGATCCATCCTGAAATCTCCTGTGTGTCATTTTGTGCACAGTTGCAATTCTTGCAGCACCAAATGCAGCAGCAGCAAATGGCTATGGGAGCAGCAGCGCCTCAGGGGGCAGCGCCACGGCAACATACCGCCAGCCAACCAAGAAGTAAGAGGAAGAGGAGCATGCCACAGCCCCTCCCGAAGTTATGAGAGACTGAAATCACAAAACAACTCTTCCCTCCTCCCAGCAACACTAGGACATGAATGATCCATACTGTGCTCTTTGTCTGACTCACTGTGGAGACTGCAGACAAAGAAAACAACCTTTCGGTGTCTTCTTCCAGCTGACAAATGTGTATGTGACGGTTGTCAGAGGTTTTGGAGAACCAGGACTTTGTCTACCACAGGGCATTGGGTTTTTGAAGGCCAGGGAGTCCTACACTTAAAGAACCCCAGTGGTATTTTTTAGATGAAAACAGAATAAGATGGTTTCTGGTAGGCGGCAGGCGGCACACCGCCCCTTCAGGAAGACGTCTCACTACGGGGGCAGAAAGGGTGAGGATTTGACTAAATGACATGAGCGTGCGTGTCTGACCCCCCCTGCCTCTGCTTGGTTGACACCGGTACAAACTGCCCTTTAAGCACGGATCCCAGTGAGCTTGTCGACACCAAATCCTCCACATAACCACGACGTGTGAAAATGCAAATCGAATCTTGGAGTAGTGCCTGGGGGGGCCGCTCTCTACCTCTCAAGTCTGTTGGAAGTCTTTTCTTCTGTTGGCCATCCAGGCACAGGGCTCAAACCAAGGACTCAAGATGAAGATGCAAGACGGTGCGTCTGCTTTTGTACAGCGCATTTTGAAAAGGCATTTCCTTTTAAATTGTTCAGGAGCCACGAGTGTATTCTTATGAGACATCAATAGAGTGTGTGTATGCGAGACATTTCTGGACACTGAGAAATAATTTTTTAAGCAGTCTTTGTCAGCAGTTTTATTGTTATTGAAAAAAAAAAAAGAATATATATTGACAGTGGAAAATACAGCTTTTAGATAAACAAAAATTGTGGTCTGAGGCTCCTTATTTTGCGGCCTTCACGCTGAGTACGACTTTGCCAATGAGTTTTTGGATCTCTCTCTGTCTCGTTGTGGCTCTGTTGATGCACTCCTGAAGCTTCTCTCCCGACAGTGGCGTCCCACCTGAGGACAGAGGGAAAGGTAGTTAGAGAGGTTTTCTTTCCATTCAAACCCACACGATAGCAGAAATAATTTCAGATACAACAAACGGGTATTAACTAAAAACCTAAATTACATTGGTGTATCGATTGTAAAATGATTTATTTTCAATTTTACACAAAAACAGCATCATCTTTTTAAGCACTAAAAAATGTGGATTCCTGCTGAATGGTTTCCTGTTAGTCTACAGGAAATGTTATCGACACCGAGTAAAAGCTCCAAGGGAGTCCAGTCATTACAGGCCGAGTGTCTGACCTGGTTTATGTACAATGCAGAGTCGATCTTCATCATCTGTCACCACAGTGAGGTGAGCAGTCGACAGACTCTCCTCATCAGATGTGGGGTCCACGATCAGTATGGAGCTGCACGGAGAGTAGGCCAGGATTACAAAAGATGGGGTGTAAATCCTGGCTAGACAATCTGAAACGTATTGACATACTCATCAAAGATGCAAAAAGAGGTGCCGACTGGATGTTTGCAAATATTCAGCCCATGTCGCTTTTCGAAGTTAACCTCTGGTAAACTAGTCTCTGTGTTGATGGTGACCTCCGGGAGCTGTGCTGTAGGGAGCAGGTAGACTGTTAATATACTAATGAAAAGCAGCTTCCAAAAAGAGCCCATTGTGTATAAAGCACATACTGTTCTCCAGGGCAGCCAGCAGGGCAATGATGCAAGCGTCCAGCACGTTCCCATCGTAGTCCAGACACATCATGTCACAGTAGAGCACCCAGCAGAGCTGCAGGCACAATCAGCAGAATCAGGACCAATCACCCAACTTTAACAACATTCACAGTCTTTTTGGCTCCGGTGCACAATGCATGGATTTACCTTTCCTCTTCCAATGCACAAGTCCTCCGTTTGCATCAACTCAGAGCTGCAACCCAAATATAAAAGGAAATGTGGGTTAATAAAAGGGGGCAGCGAACAATGAGACCGTTAGCTGATGCCTGATGCTGTGAAATGAAAACTAAAAACGTGTGTAAAAATATGTCGCACCTTTCAATTACATCGGCGACGAACTGGCTGGCAGCCTGCGCCTGCTCTCCCGGCGGGCCGGGCCGAAACCGGGAGGAACACAGCGGAGGCAGGTCCACGTTGGGCACTGAGAAGGTAGGGAACAGCACTGCAGTAAGGGTCCGTGTGTTCATTTGGCGTATGTTGCTTTAAATCTATGTTTTGCAACCACTGCACTTACCTATGTAGCCTTTACCTGGCGCCTCCACTGCCGGGGTCGTCAGCTCCTGCGGATGAAGAAACACAAGTCAGAGAACCCGACTGGGATTCATTGAGATGCGGCTTTTAATTGCATTACGTGCGCATGATAATTTACCGCCTTGATGCCACAGATGACTGTGGTGTTTCCAACCTTCACCAGGGCTGAGCCATCGGCTGTGGATATGGACCCTGAACAGACCAGAGAAAAACATTTGTATGTAGACAAAGAGAAAAAAGGTTCTCCACAATATCCGCTATCGATAACAATCAACGCCGTTTCTCACCTATGTTTAGAGTTGTGCTTCTGAACTCGGATAGCTCGCGTCCATCAGGACGACAGTCTTCTTTCTGGATGAGGAAGCATTTGAATGTTAAATAGCAGCTGACAGTCACTGAAAGTCACTCTGCAGAGCAAGCTCAAGTGTAACTTTGGGCTGAAATCATCTTTTTCTTTTAGTGTGGTTTAATCGCTTACCAGAAATCTCCGGTGGTACTCCAGAGGCTCAGCAACTCTGGGAGTGTACAAGTGCACAGGTACGGGAGTCAATTAGACATTAGCTTAAAGAATGAAATGATATAAATCAATAAAAACAGGAGAGTGAGATATGCCTCATAACATTAGCTAACGTTAGTTTTTGTTTCTGTCCTTTAAAGACAGTTACTGAATTCACTGTAGCACTCAACAACAGAAGAGAACACGTCTTCGGAAGATCTAAATGAAAAGTGCTCCTATTCCTACAGGAGCCAACGATCACACCTAACGCTAATTAATAATGTATAAATAATTTAATATCTGAAGATTATACGCATGAATAATATTACTTAGTGTAACAGCGCAGCCTTACTTGAAGCCGGCCGCCATGATGTTTTGATTGCACCACGTGTGTTTGTTGGACGTCCTACGGTGGCCTGGAGGAAGAAGTTCGCAAGCGATGAAATTCCAATTTGGATATAAATAAATTCAATCACAGATAGGCTCTTGTAAATTTTTTAATAAAGCAATTTTAGCATTGGGTATTTAACAAAAAACAGTATTTGAATTTGGTTTGGAATTGCTTTTTAAATACCAATTTAATAGAACCACAACAACGAGAGAGCCACTAACCTACTTGCAGAGGTATTTTAATTCATGAATTAATGTTATTTACGACATGTGTAAGAAATAAGACTTTACACTACTAATTTAAAAGACCCAGTTAGCGTTTGTTTCAACCAGTGCGGTTCCTCTGGTCGTTCCCCTTCCCGTCCAGCAGGTGGCGGTGGAGTCGCTGCAGACTCTCGCAGCGCCGCTCGGTGCCCTCTTGCCTCTAACTGATGATGTGTCGAGAAATTCCTGCTACTTCCGCGTCGCCGCTGTGTTCAGTTTTGATTGGTAGAGTTCATTGAGCCGCCTAGATAGCAATGGAAAATACAAAGACTCTTATATAGTGATCCCACCTTATGACGCTCGTATATTCTTGTATATTTAGGGACGTCCCTGGTGATTTAGACACGAAGACGCAAAGGAGAAAGTACGCTAGCTTTTTAGCTAGCCACTTTGGGGTCTGTCAATTGCTGCAGGCTAACTTATGGAAACATGGATTTCCTCTGTGAAATAGTTCAAGCCTTGGTGGCATTGGCAGCTCTAAGTGTTATTGTGGTAAGTAGTGATGATATTCAGTTAATATTGTATTAGCAGAGATCATTCGTAGCTTATAACTTATACTTTATAACGGCTTTTTCCATAAGAAGTTCTCGAAACAATCTAATGGTCTTTTTGTATCTTCTAATGTTGAGATAATTACCTCATTTTTTTTCTGCGTATAATCGTAAACACAATTAATCACGAGGATATCCAGACCTAAATGCTCCAAAGCAGTAAGAATAGTGACGAAACAAACAGAATAGAATACAACAGCAAACCGGTATAAATCATGAAACTGCACCATCACACCTATTTCTTGTCTGGCCCCAAAAAAACACAATACACAATACATAATTCAGTTTATAGTATGACTATCAGAAGTTATTACACCTCATACAAATAGTACTCGCTCTAAAGTATAGAATACATTAACACAGTTCCCATCATTTATGTCAGAGAATGTATTTACACTCCGCAAACTACCTGACGACAATAGTCCTGTTTTCCCATGTTTCCCGTGTCAGGTGCTCATAATAGCACACGTCACCGCCGAGATGGTGACGCTCACCCGCCACGAGAAGGAGAAATACTTCCTCACCGTGACCGGCGAGAAGGAGCTCTTCCCCAGCCTGCACGATGCCTCTTCCAGGGAGCTCTCGGTGGTGATCCCGGCCTACAACGAGGAACTCCGAAGTGAGTGTTTGATGATGTGTGTCCGGAACCTCCTCAGCATTCAGTGGAATGGTTGCAGGTTATATCCCATAATCCCATTCTCTCAGATGTAATGTCAGTACACACCTGCCGTGGGTAACAGGCACTAATATGCGTGTGGGTGTGTTTCATTGCAGTGCCAGTGATGTTGGATGAAGCTACCGAGTACTTGGAGAACAGACAGGTAAGTGCTCAGCCTCTCGTCGGCAGTGATGAACTAAATCATATCATTACGTACATTATTGTGAGTGAAAAGTTTGAGTCTGAAAATGAGTCTTGGTGATGATGAAAGGCAGGTTCATTTTTAATCATCCCTTGATAGAAAGCTGTCATTCGGTAATTTTCAATGTTGTCAGTAGGTGGCGGCATTCAACAAGAAATGTCACTTTTAATATGTCCCTTATTCCTTATTTCCTCACTGCAGAAGCAGCAGCCCTCTTTTACCTATGAGGTCATCGTGGTCGACGACGGCAGCAAAGACAAAACGACTGAGGTGATTTTTTGCGTCCAACTATGTCACTAAAAGTCCCCCCCCCCGCCGCAACTCACTTTTGCCTAGTCAAACCTTTCAAAGATAAACCAATAGACATTGGTTTCATGCTGTGCTGCTGTCCCGCCAGGTTGCGTTGCGGTACAGTAGGAAGTACGGTGCTGATAAAGTTCGGGTGCTGACACTGGTGAATAACCGGGGGAAAGGAGGAGCGGTGCGGATGGTGAGACCGTAAATACTGAGCTCCAATACATGTGAAAAAAGTCCAAAAGTAATAGGTGGGATTATATTTTGTGTTGATTCTACTTTGTGATGTTGTTTAATCTAAAAAGGGAGCTCTGAGCTCCAGAGGGAAACTCATTCTGATGGCCGATGCTGACGGAGCCACGAAGTTTGCTGACATTGAGAAAGTGGAGGCTGGACTTAACGCCCTCAACCCTAAACCGGTGTGTTGTGGTCTTTTTCAGGCTTTTTGTTATCATGTTGTCAGGTGGTTACACTACTAAAAATGTCTGTCTGTACAATAGGAGAACATGGCAATTTCTTGTGGTTCCAGAGCTCACCTGGAGCAAGACTCCGTTGCCCAGGTAACCGTCTCTCTTTGACATTTTTTAAAGTCTCACAGACCTGTGTTCATCAAACCATTAACAACCACTGTCGTGTCTCTGATACAGCGGTCTATGTTTCGTACATTCCTCATGTATGGCTTTCACTTCCTGGTGTGGTTCTTTTGCGTGAGAGGGATCAAGGACACGCAGTGCGGATTCAAGCTTTTCACGCGCGAGGCCGCCCTCAAGACCTTCTCTTCCCTCCATGTAGAGCGATGGTAAGGACTCCCCCCTCCACCATACACACCATGAACATTGGTTCAAAATGCACTGTTTGAACATCTGTTGTATACTATTATCTTGTTTCCTTCTCACAGGGCTTTTGATGTGGAGCTCTTGTATATTGCCCAGTGTTTCAAAATCCCCATCGCAGAGGTGGCGGTCAACTGGACTGAAATAGAAGGTGGGGTTTTAATGGAATACATGTGTCCTCGCACTGTGCTCTCTATGATATTGTTATCTTGGTTGGATGATATGCTTTTTCGGTGATTTTGTGTGTCTTTCAATTATTCCTGGTGCATATTAACATTTTGTTAATAGCATTTTAAAGTGGTTTATTGTTCTTTTATCTTGTGTTTTTGACTTGACTATTACTTGACACTTACTGCACTATTATAGAACATCTATAAGCAGTAAATGTCAGCAAACCTGGCATTCTCCCCTTTCTCAAATAATCACACAATGAATTGCCTTCGCTTTTTCTCTGCCAGGATCCAAGCTGGTCCCGTTTTGGAGCTGGCTGCAGATGGGACGAGACCTTTTTTTCATTCGCATGCGCTATTTCACGAGAGCCTGGAAACTGCAGTCAGCGCGTAAGACCGACTAGCTAACACAGAGAGCGCCTTTCAACGAGGATATCGAAGACCCGGGGCGAGGTGGGATGAGACGCCGTGTCCAACATTTACTGCCATCAAGAACAATGTACATCACATCTTTCTCCTCTGCAAACGTCATCGCGTGTGATGTGTTGACACGGTTGTGAGTCCTTCGTGGGCCCTGCCTTGTTTCTTCTTTTTTACAGTGTGTATTGCAGCTTGTGATGGCCGCTGTTACACAGACATCTCTCTTGCCGCGGCTTTCAGAGTGCCTGTATTATTGATCCGGTTATTATTGTTACCCAATGTTTGTTTTGTGGCCAATCAGCTGTAAGTAACAGGGACGATGATGTGTATGATTGGGATGGGTAGAATGAAAGTTACTATATGAGGGATGGGATTGTAGTTTTGAGGAAACGCACTTGTGGATTGATGTATGACTTGAACCAAAATAAAAATGGCAACGATTTATGATTTAATAATTGTCAATCTAATGACTATCACTGTAACAATTAGTCAGTTAACTGATGAGTTGGTCAATAGAAATAAAACTTTTTCTAGTTGATTCATATTAACAAACTGTATACATTACTTTTTTAAATAGAACTTAAGTTTCCAAAAAGAAGAAAATAGAGAGAATTATTATTTATTATTATATAATATTATAATTATTTGTATCTTTAAACTGAAGGATTTACCTAACAAAATTAGGTCTGAATAAGTGATTTATATTGTTTCTTTAGTGTAATTATTGCAAAGTGTGGTGTGTCTCTTTGCAAGGACACACACACAAACCCTCTCACTGCTGATGTGATCTTTTTTGGAAGTGCCTGATATCACCCTGCAGATGTGTCTTGTCCACGCAGCGTGCACAGTTCCTACTCTGGATCAGACATCCTGCAGAAGGACCTGGCTCCACGGACACATCGGTTCAATATTATTACGAGAAATCTGCACCATCTGACCCCACTCGCAGTTTATTTAATTAGTATAAAATTAGATTTAACCTCTGAAATCACCCGATCAGACGTTTTGGCAGTCTTGAGTAAACGAAGTTCCTCACAGTGTTTTTTTTCTCCTTTCTTTTCTTCTTGTATGCACGCCCGAGGTCGCAGAGATGCGGATGTCTGTCGCTCTGGGGGCCTCTCGGGGTCCCCGGGGAGCGCATCCTGTCCGTCTGTCTGCCCTCTGCGACCAGACAACACACACAGAGCCAGCGGGCCGTTATCCGTCTGCCACTTTTCAGCTTCCTTCCTGGAGGAGCTCTTTAGGTGACGACATTTACAAGAATAGTTCATTGATCCATTTGATTCACTGCGGGAGGGGCACTTAAAACTTGTGCGTGATGCCCTAATGGATGCGCTTTTTAATTGAAACACCTGGAGGTAAAATCAATCCAAAGGTTGAACAAACAGCTCGTGTAGGAGGTTCACATCCCGGACTAGACACCTATTAGTGACGCGCGGCACTTCGTCCGGGTGGAGCCGCTCGATGACCGCACCTGGTGGTGTTTGGGAGAAAGAAATATCGGTTTCTTTTATTTATTTTGGACATGCCCCCCCCCCCCCCCCTCTCCAGAGTGCTGGGAGTATTGTTGCGGACCGCAGCAGTTGCTGTAAACTGGAAATGTCAAACTTGTAGACTCGCTGTCGCCAGCCCGGGATTGCGTCACTAACCGGACTAGCCGCGGCACTCCCGATAAAGCGTCGTATCCATCCGCGATGCGAAAGACCTCATACGGCTCCTAACAATAGAAAACCAAACAGCTTCACTTGGACAAAGAGGATTAAAAAAAAAGTACCACTGAATTTGGGGTGGGGTTCCGGCTTTACATGCAACCGGATATTCATAATATTACTTATTTCCTTTCATTAAAACACTCCACCTAAACTCTATTCATCATTATTATAATTACTAATGGTTTGCACAGCAGCCTGTATATGAGCCAATAACCAAACACAAATCAAGGAATTATACAAACTAATAGACATTTAACTTCAAGGTAAGATGCACAGTATGGATCACACATTACAGACCATTTTTCAATTTATTTTTTTGTATGCCTATCCGTACGAATCTGAAGGCAAACATGTGTGATTGTTTTCCTGTCCTCCGTTAGAGCCTCTGACAGGGAGCCCACGAGCTCAGGTGGAGCCACGGGCACGCGCGTACCTGCGTGCAGTTGAAGTGCATGAATCTGAAATTCTGTGAAAGTTGCAAGAGGGGGGACAGGGGGGACGGGCGGGCGGGGCGGAGGGATCTCACAGGGAGGCGCTGCGGTTCCAGCCAGGCTGACGCCGCCGTGGCTGTGTGGCGCTCGGCTGGGGCTGCTGGAGGAGCGGAGGCTCCGGGCTCCTCAAACCTGCATCAAAGCGGCCAAAGGCTGCCAGCACACACCGGAAAGGAGTGTGTGTGTGCGCCTTCACAATAATAGCATTCATTGTGTACGTAGTATTATTAATTGATTGCTAAATAAAGAACAAATAGCGATGTATGTATTGTTTCAAATAAACCTAGACCTGATTTGGCCAAATGTATAATACTATTTGTTGGATTTTCCCGGAAAATATTTAGTAAAATAGGGAAGATTTTGTCATGATTAGCCTTTAATGAGTCGTAAATGATTTACTTTGGATTCAAAATATTTTTATTTATTTTACATTTGGAACGCACCATCATCTTAGATGGCAAATCAAATCATTTGACACGATCAATTAGACCTACTTTTCTCTCACACGAAACCCACATTCACATACACTAACATCTGGTTAACCAAGCTTTTATTTTGAAATGTTCAACAGAGTGGAATTTGTATTGTGACCAACTTGACATTTACAGTCAACACACACGTTCACACACACGCACACACACACACACACACGCGCAAACAAACAGACACACACCTTCGCTGCTCCAGTGTTCTGGCACGACCCACCGTAGACAAGGTCTGTCCGTGGTGCACTTGCCATCACAACAGAGGTGAGTAAATGAACAAGTTATACAAAAATTGCTATTTTATGCCATTTCAATGTCTGTTGGATTAGTTTCACATTTAAGTTGCTTGTTGGGAAATACTCTTAATAATATTCCCAACGGTGCTGGCAGGCAACTTTTGTGGATTAAACATCTTACTACATGATATATTATTTACACGGATTGTCTCGAATGTGGTTGGCCAAATATAATGATGTACCTGATAATATATTAATTATTAATAGACAGCTCTTGCCAATACTGTTTCCAGCACATATTCAACAATATTCACGCGTTTTTTCAGTTATTTCAGGGCACTTTACTGAGCCGTTGAAATGATCTTATCAAATATGATTTTGTTTGCCAAGTTTACGATGTGTTGTCTTGGAGGTGCGCGTTTAGATGGGATGTCCAGGATTCAGAATATCCTGGATATTCTTTCTTAGGGGGGGGCAACATGACTCGCTGTACAGTCCCAGTAAAGGGAAGCTGGCATGTTTACTTTTTAGGAAGGGGTATCCTGGTGATAAAGCATTAGGTAATTAGCCTATCTGAGCCTGCAGACTGAGTGACGCCGCACGGCTCCACGGAGCGGCAGACTGATGCCGCGCTGCGCTCCTGTCATTGTGAACTCCAGCTGTCTGGTTCTTGTTTTGTTTTTATCCTGCGGGAGACGCGCTTTTGTCACATGCACATAATGCTGCATTCACATGTGTGTTATTGGAAAGCCCGCACGGCGTTAAGATTTGGAAACTCTTGGTTCTGTTGTGTATTTTATGATAATCGGGCGTCCAAGCAAAACACTGTGATTGAAATAACTTTAATTTCAAGAAATATGCTGCAAGAAGCCCGGGTCACCATCGTCAACTTACACAGATATAGTGTATAAATATTTGAATGATTAATCCGTATCAAGTGGGGCTGCTGGAGTGATGCAACGCCAAAAGGTGACCTATCGGAATAGACTAAATCATTAGTTTGCTCCTGTCCATCTAACAGTAGGTGGTTATAGAAGAAATAGACAATACAGTGCTCTCTCCCTCTCTCTGTCTCTCTCTCCCTCCCTCCCTCCCTCCCCCTCCTGTCCTGTGATGTGTTCTGGCCAGACAGTATGGCTCCTGGGCGTCAGTGGCATGATCATAGAAACAGAGGCCAGAGAGGACATTCCTCATTGTTGGTGGATGTAGAAATGAGCTTGGCCATCGCGCCCCATTCTTTTTTTTAAACGGCATTCGCTTTCTTTATAGAAAAATAACAACCAGTTGAGATCAGGAGATCAGTTTCATACATGGTCTCTGTCTCGTTGTCCTCCTGATCCTGCCTTTGTATCATGGAAATACACCTCTAGTGCCCGGATCGTTCAGTTTGCTCATGTGGTGTTGAGTCTTTGGTTTCACTGTGCTTAATCCCCTTTACAATAAAACCCCCTGGTCTCCTTTCCACCCAACTACTGAACTATTCATTCAACCTTGCATTTGTTTCAGCTAAATTAATACTCTCTCTTTCTTTCTTCTCTCGCCAGATGATTGAAACTTGACCAGGATTTACGCCTGTGAGGAATAACTATCTCTGCAGGAGGCTTCAAATCCGGAGCTGCCAGATCTCTTCTGCAAGTGCCGACGCAGAGAGGGGATTTAGAGTTTGTGCTGCACGTGGGAAGTTCAGCTCCTCCACCGGTGCCCTGTTTGCACGGACTCACCCCGATACCACTTTTACCCTTAGTATCTGCCTCCCCGCTGCTGTCCTCGGGGGGGGGGGGGGGGGGGGGGGGGGGGGGGACCATTATCCTGTTAACAGCTTCCATCACCTCATCTCGTCGCCCATTTATCCATCTCATAATGAACTCCACCACATCCATTACATCTCTATTCTCCTTCACCAGCCCGGCGGTAAAACGCCTGCTGGGTTGGAAACAAGGGGATGAGGAAGAGAAGTGGGCGGAAAAGGCCGTGGACTCTCTAGTGAAGAAACTGAAGAAGAAGAAGGGGGCGATGGAGGAGCTGGAAAGAGCACTCAGCTGTCCAGGGCAGCCCAGTGAGTATCAGCGTGCCAGATGTTTGTGTTCTATCAGGTCTCAATCTGGAGGTCAGAGCCCATGCAGGGGGGGTCATATGATACATTTATGAGGAGCTCATAAATCATGATAAGAAATGATGAAGCAAACAACAGAAGTTTAAATCTGCAGTGTTTTTTTCTCAAGGTGCACTGAGTTGTTTGATTTGACTCCTCCAGGCAAGTGTGTGACGATTCCTCGGTCACTAGACGGGAGGTTGCAGGTGTCCCACAGGAAGGGACTGCCCCATGTCATCTACTGCAGGGTGTGGCGCTGGCCTGATCTGCAGTCCCACCACGAGCTGAAAGCCTTGGACTGCTGCGAGTTTGATTTTGGCTCCAAGCAGAAGGACATCTGCATCAACCCGTACCACTACAGGCGCGTGGAGACTCCAGGTAAAAACGCCTCATCAGGGAACATCTCAATCTGCTGTAAACAAATGAGGTCATTTGTCATAATGCATTTGAATATTGTGGCAGTGAATCTTTTTTTTTAGGAATCGTTCCTAAACCGAGGCAGGACATTTGATCTGATAAAAAAGTTCCCGGACCAAAGGGATTTGCTGTAACGTGATCTTTCATAACAGCATCTGTCCTCCCTCTGAATCCCTTTGTCTCAATACCTTTTTTTTTTTTTTGTCTCTTCCTTCTCTCTCGTTTCCTGTCAGTGCTGCCGCCAGTTCTGGTCCCACGCCACAGCGAGTTCAACCCTCAACACAGTTTGCTGGCGAAGTTCCGTAACGCCTCCCTGCACAACGAGCCTCTGATGCCCCAGAACGCCACCTACCCGGACTCCTTCCCCGCGCTGCCCTGCTCCTCCTTCTCCTCCTCCCCGTCTTCCTCCCTCATCCAGTCGCCCACCTCACAGAGTTACCCCAGCTCCCCCAACAGCTCCGCGGAGCCCGGCAGTCCGTACCACATCGCGGGTAGGAACCAGAAGGAGCACGCTGACACTCTTAAGGGCTCCTGTCGTCTCTGAACCGCTGAGAAAACTACTTCTCCAACTGATCCCGTCCTTGTAATTTGCGACGTGCTTTTCCAGCAGAGACTCCCCCGCCTCCATACAGCATGATGGAAACGAGCCCTCAGGAGGACGTGAAGCCCAGCAACTCCACGGAAACCCTCAAACTCACATTTTCATCTCCGCACAGAGGTAACTTCAGTCCACACGAGATGAGAAGTACAGATAGTAGAACTTTAGTACGTCATTTAAGTAGCACTGCCACCTATCCGACATGCTGTAGTGCACGTTACCAGTACTATCGCATGTCGGATAGAGATGCTGTTATAATAGATCTACTGAGGCATCAATATCTCCATTTGTACTTTCGCCCCCAACTCATCAAATTGAATGTGCCGTGTCATATGCTATGCTACCCTTAGCGGACACTTTTTACCCAGCCCTTCGTGTTGTTCCGGTTTAGATTTACGGCCCGTGTGTTACGAGGAACCAGAGTTCTGGTGTTCGGTAGCTTACTACGAGCTCAACAACCGAGTGGGGGAGACTTTCCACGCGTCGTCTCGCAGCGTCCTGGTGGACGGCTTCACCGACCCGTCCAACAACAAGAACCGCTTCTGCCTCGGCCTGCTGTCCAACGTCAACCGCAACTCCACCATCGAACACACACGCAGGCACATAGGCAAAGGTAGGCAGCACCGCTCATGGAGGTAATTCCTGTTAGAGGAACACCTTTTGAGTTGTTTCTTAATGGAGTTTGTATGGCCTGTCCCCCATCATACATGGGCAGAATGCAAGAACCTATTTTCTTTGTTTGGGTTTCTGCTGAGTGTGTGCCTTTTGTAAGCAGTCGCATCACTTCAAGTGTGTCTTTTTGTTCTGAATCCTTCAGGCCATTTTCTTTCTCATGATAAGAATTGAGACCCGTCCATGTTGGAGTGAGAGACAAGAAGCCCCTCTAGCTGAGAGTAAACGGGCACTACAAATAAAGTCGACGGAAGTTGGTCCCTGACTCACAGACTCTACTCAGGAATTCCTCCTTTTATTAGCAGATTCCATTGCGGTTTTGCTCTCTGTAACACAACTTTGATTCCATGTTTTCTTGGATAAAAGCTGCTTTGACGTTATACCTGTTTATTAGTAAAGGAACCAGTTTTCTTTTGCGGCATTTTAAGCATTCAAGTAACCTCTACTATTTGATGACCCTCTTCGTGCCTCTAAGGTCTACACCTGTACTACGTGGGCGGCGAGGTGTACGCAGAGTGTCTGAGCGACAGCAGCATCTTCGTCCAGAGCCGCAACTGCAATTTCCAGCACGGCTTCCACGCCACCACGGTGTGCAAGATCCCCAGCGGCTGCAGCCTCAAGATCTTCAACAATCAGCTGTTCGCCCAGCTCCTCGCCCAGTCGGTGAACCACGGCTTCGAGGTGGTTTATGAGCTCACCAAGATGTGTACCATCCGCATGAGCTTTGTCAAGGTACTGAGCTTTTGCTTGATCGCTATATTGCGTAGTAAGAATAACAAATTCACTCAAAAGGTGAGCTGTTAAGCGCGTTCCCAGATGAGGGGTTGTCCTCGTCGCCCATTTCGTTTTTTAACAGTGAGCTAAAGTGCTGAGATTTATTGGTGTGTGTGTTCTCGTCAGGGATGGGGCGCTGAGTACCACCGGCAAGATGTGACCAGCACCCCCTGCTGGATTGAGGTACATCTGCACGGGCCCCTTCAATGGCTGGACAAGGTCCTCACACAGATGGGGTCCCCCCACAACCCTATTTCATCAGTGTCATAACAAGGACACACGTGTGTGTGTGTGTGTGTGTGTGTGTGTGTTTGTCTGTTTGCGTGTGTGTGCGCCGTAGGTCCTTCACACATTCTGTATGTTGTACTATGTCCAGGTTTTCTGTCCTACTGGCCTTTGTGGGTCATCTCAAACAAAAAGACACCTGTTACACAACGTTTTGTGACATCATGCTACATAACTGATACACATGAGTGATTACGTTTGCTTTACAGCTTGTGTAGTTAAATGATTGAGTGTTAATAAATCTCACCAAGAGTGTGATACGGTATTTCTCGTCTTACACCGTCATTGGGACATTAACTGCACTCCAAGACAAGAAAACCAGTATACATCCAAAGGCAGTCGAGTACTAGTGTCATTACGTGTCGTCAATGTTATTACGGTAGTATGTATTCTATAAAACTGTTTGCTTTTCCATTAAAGTCGTTTTAAAAAAGGACCAAACTTCTTAATGTTAACTTAATAATTTACTCTCATATTTCACAAACAGTAGCGTACAGTGCAACATAGCTAGCATGATCAATGTTAATCCCAACGAACAGATTAGTTTCTTTTTGTATGCAGTTACTGTGGATAAAAACACGTTCTCATGAAAGCCCCATGTGTCATCAACATGACTCCAAACATACATTTACACAGTTGATTGTCACATGTCATAAACACATTCATATTCAAGAAACATCATCAGGCTACAAAGTGAAGAAGCACTACGAGAAAAACGTAAATAAAAGCATCATATAGGCAGCACTCAAAAACACAAACTATCATGTTTTTCTTTTTTCAGCAATGGAAAAAGATAATCTGAGCTCACATGGCTATTCGCTTAAAGTGAGACTTTCACATCTGGATAAAATCGCAATCCAACGCCCTCATTTTTCTTGTCACATGGCGATGGGGGATTAACACAAACACTGGGAATTAAAAAGTTCATTCATAAAAAGTAACAGTTTAAAGAAATAGCACCAATAGTTTTTAAGTGCCTTTAAAAACGTCTCTCTTGAACAGCACTTCGTTCTTTCTCCTGCGCGGTTGTCTGGCCGGAGAAAGTCATGTTTACAGTACACGGTTACCAACCACTTAGCGCGTAATGCGCCAGTGTTTCTTCTGTGCTCTCAAATCCGGCGCAAAACACCGGCAGACTGGCGTCAACAGCCCTGGAACTGCTGCTGCGATTGGCTGCGGCTCTGAGTGGCGAGGAGCTGCTGCTGCTGCTGCAAGAAGCTGATCACCTCAGGACTTCTGAGCAGCGACTGACGGAAACACACACACACATTCAAATTTCAGAGCAAAAAAAAATTTGAAATATTCGGTAGATACGAAGCTTTCGCAATCTGCTTCTTTTTTTCCCGGGCCGAGAGTGCATTGTGTCTGCACACATTAAAAGTGAAGTGTACAAGTCTTGGTGGAAGACCACCAAAACACAATGGCTTTCCAGCCCGTTCAGGTAGACACTGGGCAGAAGCATGCAAGGCAGGTGCGATTTAGCCTTGCTGCTGGAAACATTTAAGGATCCCATACAACGAGAAAGACAAAACACTAAGAGTGGGAGGAAAAGACTGAGTTTTAAATGAACACAAATCAAATGCCAAAGAGGCTCTTGATCCCTTACAAAGATGTAATATGGTTTCCCCCTGTAATTTGTCACCCATCTGTATGTGAACCCACACAGCGAGTGTTCAGTTAGGACTTACCAGTCTTTTCTGGTTGAGGACCTGCTCTATCAGCGAGGGCCTGGCTGGCCGGTCCCCAATGGCGCCCAGGCGCTGTTTGTTCACTGACACAGGCCGCTCCTCGGAGTTATCCTGATAGGAAGGATAGAGGGGAAAAAACAAAAAAAAACAGGCAATTAACTAGGACAGCTTGGTTTGTATTGTGGTTTAAAATAGCGAGCGGCCAAAGACACAGGCAGCTTTCTAAATGCTCTACATTAACAGATGGTGTGTAATACAGGTCTACTCTGTATTCACAATATCTTTCACAAGACGAAGGTAAGTTTAAATTTAAAAAAAATGACGAGTATCTGGAGCACAAGCGTACGTCAATCTTCCCACTGGACATGGCCTGGTCGCTCTTCTTCTTCTTGTACTTGTCTTTGTACATCTTGTTGCGGTGTTTTTTGCACATCCAGGGCTTCCGCTGCTTCGCCACCTGCGTGGTGGTCTCCGTGCAGCCCTCGTAGGTGCACTGTTTGGGCGCGTTGTCGCCCTCCGAGGTGTCCTCGTCGTTGAGCTCCTCGGGGCTGGCGGCGCTGTCTCGGGGATCCGACGTGTCCAGGACGTCGCTCTCCTCGTCGGGGTCGTCCATGTCGTAGGAGGAGACGTTGTTGTCCGGTTCGAGCGGCGTTATCACATTTCTACTGTCGACCACTCCGCTCTTACTCACGTAGTACCGTTGTCCGTCTTTGGTGAGCAACAGGGTCGAGTCTTTGTCTTTGTTGGCCGACGCTGAATTGTCATCTTCACTCATGATCGCGGCTATGGCGGCAGCTAGCTGACTAGCTAGCAAGCTAAATACCAAATATCTGCGGTCAGTTCAGGTCAATCGACTTAGCTTCCCCGCGAGTTTACTATATTATCCGATTTTGAGAAGGTCGTGTGTCATGAATACATACTTAAGACATTAAATCGTGGGACTTTTGCCTCCTACCACTCAACTTCCACGGGTTTCAGATGTCACCGCTGTCGTTGCATTTCGATAACAATAATTTTCTTCTTCGCTGGATTATTTGGTCCGTTTGACAGAGCGACTCCTGGCGGCCAACACGCAGCACGGCGCGTGGTTCTTTATTCTGGCCGTAATAAAGTATTTTACTTGAGAAATTGGCATGCATCGTTAAGCAAATTAGTTTTTAAAACAACATGTAACAGTAAAGTACAGTTGCATATATTATATAAAGAAATATAACATCTGACCATAAACACGGGCAGTTATTTGGTAACTTAAAATATTTGGATAATATATTATTCATTTTACATTTTAGTGAAATACAATATATAATATTGTTATTAAAATAGCTTACCACATTTATTTTTCAGACTTTAAGGCATACAATACATTTTTAATGGGATAGTAATGTCATAATTTACGTTTACTATTTAATTTTTACTTAATTCTTTAGTGTACAATTTTTCAAATATTTATCATTGGTATAGGACCCTTTTTTACAACATTTTTACTACATACTATTCTAGGACATTGAGTATGTTTTTTGAAAAATATTATAGTATACTAAACTTCTCCATAATTTTTCATTTCATTCTTTTTCATAATTTGTTTATAAGATCCATTACTATGATTTTATGTCAATCTTTCAGATATGCTTATTTACTATTTTGACATTCTATAGTATTTATTCTTATAACTTAATGTAGAATAAGTAAAACAAAAACCACTGCTCAGATACACCCAAAACTTCAGCTAATAAAATATGAATAATGAAATATGTGATTCCGGCTCACTCCATGCAACACGTCCCTTTCAATTGTTCACATATGAGCTGAGAGATAAAACTGTATGTTCAGCACCGGCGCTTTCAAAAACAGAACATTTTTAATCCATCATCTCTGGCTGGGATTTACAATCATCAAGTACCCTTCAAGTCAAGTGCAACCACAGCAGATAGCTGGTAAAAATAGCAACAACAACAACAATTAAATCTGTTCGTAGAAAACTACGAACTACGAAAGAGATTTGGGGGCCCCTAGTTGTCAATTGCCAAACAAATGATCTACCATATGTCTGTTTTAAAACTAACACATTGAATCATAATAAAGCTCTACACGAGACACTGAAAATGTGTTTTTGAAACCAATTTTTATTATTACTATTATTATTAATACACCATTGTTGAACAGAGGTACAGGTATTGGTATTGCAAAATAGTCTAATACTATAGTGCAGCTGTCAGAGCACTTTGGTAAACCGCATGAGTCGGAGTGAGTGGACTTTAACAGCTTGACAAATTCATACTGATCTGGTCAGCACATTACTGTATATGACTTATGATGAGAATTACTACAGACCTGTGTAGCCATAGTAGATCAGCCCTGAGAATTCAAAAGAAATCACTTTTCTTTTCAATTCTTCTCTGGCTTTCCGTGTCCGTCCTCTTGATCTCACACCAATTACCAGAGTTCCCCTTTTGGTTGCTGTTACAAAGGAAGTGACATCGATCCCAGTGTACAAGTGGGACATCAGGTTGAAATGTTTTTCAACCAATGTTTTTTTCAGATCATTTATATGGTTTCGACCCGATGATATCGTCTAGGTTATTTCTATGACTGACAGACATGTATGAATGTTGTCTTTTTTCTTCTTTTTTTTTTTTTTTTCTTTTTACATTTTTCATTGAGTCATTACTAGTAAATAAATATACTGTATTGTGAACTATCAAAATAAATCAAATTATGTTATTTACATAACATATAAACAATACTTCATCACACAACCATTTTGTATTCAAGAAAAGGCTACTGTATGTCTGTCATGCTTTCATCTGAATAAATTAAGTCATGAATGAGGTTGTACAGAGCTGAACTTTATCCTCTCGCATCCTTTTGACTGTACTGCTTTCCAGGAGTGCTGCTGGTTCTTCTTTCTTATTTGGCCTGCACCTAGACTCCAGTAGTTTGTGCAAATAGGCAGCCCTCATAAACTGCTAAATATATCTATTTACCACCTACAATAGTCCTCGTAACCCATACAAAGTGTCCACTTGGGCTGGAACAATTATACCTGTTTTAGGTGCTGGAATATTTGGATGAAATATGTCGTTGGTGTTTACGTCTGAAAAAAACGCAAACCTTCCTATGTGTGCGTGAGCATTACAAAATATCAAGATCAGCATGATATAAATTCAGTGAAACTGTGCGCATGGAGACAAAGTGTTGACTTTGCTACACAAGCACCCAAATGCGGCTGAACTGTGTGTATCAAGATGTCACGTATGAAGCAGTTAACACAATTACAATGGGGGATTAAATGCACTGTTATTGTCTTAATTGCAGTCTTTGTGAAATGTACGTGTGTGTGTAAACTGTAAAACTGCGATCCAACGTTACAGGAAGGCAACCCCAATACTGTGTGCTAAACAGAATTATAGCGGTACTTGACCATGTATCTGAACACTGTATTTAACACATTTGTAAGAAATATACTCCTCCTTTACACTCAATTACTGACATTAACCTGTGTTGGAATACTTCAACATTCTGAACTCTACTTCTACACACTTTTCGATTACTTATGTTCCTCTAAGCTCTTAGGACAACCCAACGAAGACATATTCTTTATGCAAAAGGGAAAGACGTATTACAAAAATGCAGTGACTAAATAATAGATAGATAAGGTTCAATAAAACATGAACATTGGTCCGTATTCTCATATTGCCTTGTGGAGCTGCTTCATCATAAGGAAGCATCCATGTTGAGCCCAGATCATCACAGAAGGATAAACGATGCTGTCGCCCCTTTCTCACTCCTTGAGCTCTTCGACATGTGCTCAGATGAGAGATTGTTGAAAAGAAGAAAAGTAGTTTGCCTCAATCTACTGTATCCCTCTTCTTCGTGGTCTCTGTTTCTTGTCCACGATTTTACCCTGTTATCTCTATAGAAAAGAGACTGGGGATGCTGATGCTGATATCTCCTCCTCTTCCTCCTCCTCCTCCTCCTTCCCCCCTCCTCCTACATAAAGAGAGAGGAGCTGGGGGAGTATTTCCTCTATTTTACCTCTTTGCTCCTCCTCCTCTGCATCTCTCGAAGGGCGAGTTGGGGGACTATATGATAGTGGCTGAGCTGATGCAGATGTCCTCAGATTCAGGATGGGAGGCTGGGGTTCGGGGGAAAGGGTCAGGGGTCAGAGAGGGAGGGGCCACGGGCAGGCCAGGGAGGCAACAGGGAGGACCCCCGCAGTGTTTTTGTTGTTGACGTTGTTGCCGTTGTCACCGTCAGCATTCCAAGCAGTGGCTTCACATTCGTGTAGCGTCCTCATCTGAGAACCTGCCCCTCCTTATCAAGAGGGGGGGCCTGAATGAGGGAGGAACAGGAGAACGTTATGATTATATCCTCCGATGCCGTCATGTGGTCACACAGTAATCCAGTATGGAGGACCAGGAGAGCCTGGCACATGTTCTTTAAGTTATTAATTGTTACGGAATCGGACAGTGAAGAGGGTTAAAGTACAATATAAAACCATACACTATATCAAAACGCCAATGAAAAGTTGATCTTTAACATCTGATATCTTAGATGACATTTGCGCCGTCAACAAGAGATTCAATTATTATGTTTATTTACTCATTCATTTGTTGTTAATTAATTTTGTATGTGTACTGTAGATATCAGCCGGTAAAATGTAACAATGAACTTCTAGGTCCTCCATAAATCAACGGTGGATAAAGTCACACAACAGGAGATAGATAGTGGGAAGATAAAAGAAAGCTACGGTGTCATTAGAAACAGCCAGGTAGGGAGCGTGACATCAATAAAATCTCTAAAATAGACGTTGAACAAGCAAGCAAACAGGGTAAACAGGCAGCAGTCACAAAGAAACTGTGAACCGAAAGCAAAACTGAAAACATCAAACTTTATACACGTTCACCACAGAAATGTACACACAAGGACACACATTCACAAGGGACAAGTACAGAGTAACTTCCTTTGTCCCAAACACTGATATACAGAAACACAAGACAGGGGGGGGGGGCAAAGCTTCAGCAAAAGACCGACAACCAGACGCATGCTATGCGTGAAACATGTCATTTACAGCCAGCGGGGGTTAATGGGAAGAAGCAGAAAGCAAAGCACAAAGACAACCGCGCGGGGACAAAGCAGCAGCAGCCAGTCAGCTTCACAGTGGGGAGGGGGGCAGCGATCTCAGAGACACCAGCTTGATTTGCTTTGATATCTTCATCAGTTTGTGACCGTCAACGCGGTAGAATCTCTATGGAAACCTGGCGTACCTTGTCCAGTACATGGCCGGGTGCTGGTAGAAATCCAACGACCCAGATCTCTGCATAGAAAAGCTGTCGTCCAACTGAATACAAAGAGAAACCAGCACAATCAATCCAAACACCAGTCGACACGGAAACGGAATAAGACGCAAACTTCACTCAGGAAGTGGACTTAAGGAATAACTAAAGAGGCGAGTCGAGCTCTGCACAAATCAATGCGACAACCACTGTAGATGCGTGAAGCCGAACCCTTAGATCGCGGTAGCGGTGACTTACGGAAATGACCGACACTCCTGCAGTGGTGTCGTTGCCTTTCGGACTCGTGTTGAAGTGCTTCTTTATCTTCCCTGCTACTGACAACTGATGATCGTTCTCACACAGACCGTCGTCCTGTGTAAAGCGAGGCGAGAGTGGAGGAATAAAAGAATAAGCCCTCGGGGGTGAAGATGTTACGACTCCATTCATGTGAACTGAATAAACGCTGGACTCACGGTGACCCAAGGGTGCTCCAGCACCTGCAGGGCAGTAAACCTCTGATCCACCTCCACCTCCAGCATGGATCGAATCAGCTCCTTCAGCAGCAAACAAACAACGGTCAGTTCACTCAAAACGAGTGGATTCGATCGGCAACAAACAGACACACACACACACACACACACACACACACACACACACACACACACACACACACACACACACACACACACACATACACACACACACAGATGGTGTCCTTGCTAACAGATTTGTTTTACCTTGGCTGTCTCTGACACGTTGTCCCAGTACGGTAGGGGGAATTCCAGCTGTCCCATTAGTATCTGATCAAAAAGCACTTCCTGATCGTCACTGCTCCTGCAGAACAATTAAATAATGTGACATTTTTTTGCGGGTGAAAATTCTCTTTTAGGGTTAGCGTTAGTGGCGTAGATCTTGCATTTTGCTTACCCTCGAAAGGGTGGGAAACCACACAGCAGGATGTAGGTGATGACTCCAGCTGCCCAGATGTCCACCTTAAGGCCATACCTGCATGAAGACATGACTAAGTTATATGAAAGATAATCTGTAACCTGCAGCCTGGCTGCATTTAGACAAGACACATACCGTATATGCTGCATGCATCTTGCTCTTACCCTGTTTCTGAGATGATTTCAGGTGCTACATATGTCGGGGTCCCGCAGACAGTGTAGAGGGGACCGTCCACCACAGTTGCCAAACCAAAGTCTCCAAGTTTCAGACTTTTGCTGCCGTCCCCATGCTCGTACACCTTAGCACATTTCAGACACACGACAATCACTAAAAATAGGATTTCTTCAAATTAAGTATTTTCTGTGTAGAAAATGTAACTGTCCTGGGAATCTGGGATTCCATCAACCCTGTTGTTCTGAGTGACTCTGGGTTCCCAGAGGGAGGCGGTGGCATGCACATACAAGAAAGAAGGCTGGAATCGGAGCGAGCAGGAGGTGTGAGGGCAGCAGGGATGAGTCATCTCTCTCCTCCGTGAGAGTCCAGAGTGAGTGATATCGCATCAATGTTCATTCACCCGGGAGGGAGGCTAAATTGCGGCGAGACATATGACCCTGTGCAGCACACAGTAAAACCCCATGCAGACCCATTCCAGTGTGAACTCACCAGCAGGTTTTCTGGTTTGATGTCTCTGTGCACAATGTTGAGGCAGTGGAGGTATTTGATTGCGTTGGCCAGATTGTACAGCATGCCGCTAGCGTCTCTCTCGGTGTATCGATTGGCAGAGGTGATCGCATCGAACAGATCCCCCCCCTGCAGAACAAAATCAGGATTGAGGGTGGGAGCTTTACATACAAACTCATAGGAGTTTTGTTTTGCATATTCACACCCAGGTTCACTTTCACGTTTTTTCTGCTAAGAGGATTTTTTGGCCATGGAGTTGTTTTCCCTTTCTTACCAGCAACAGGGGTAAACCGTGTCCTTATTCCTCCCCTTGATTCCCTTTCATTTGAAGCTTTTCCCTTAACACCCCCCCCCCCCTCTCTATCGCTGTGCGTTTCTCTTTCCCCGGGTGGACTAAATAGAACAGAAGCTTAAAATAGTGCTGAATCTCAGACACACTGTTGCATCCAGCCTATCATACACGTTTGCAATTTTCAAAAGGGTGAGACATTGCTGCTAAAACCTCCTCAATTCTTCTTTGGTGGGGTTTCTACAAGATTTTGGAGCCCGGCTGCATACAGTAACCTAGCATTAGCGAGGTCCGCTGCGGGTGTTAGGCAATGAAGCGCGGCTACTGGTGGTTTCCCAACGGACGCCGGATGGGGTCGAAGGTCAGGCCTTTGCACAAGTCACTTTAGTTCTTCCATGACATATCAAAAACAACCATTTATTTATGGGCCTTGTCATGTTGAAGCAAAAATAGTTGCCACAAAGTTGACTGCGTGCCGTTGTCTGGAATATAAAGTTTGTTTTTCTTGATTACAACCAGGGGAGCTATCGACAGGCAAAAGAAAACTAAACTATTGAGCCATCTCTCGCCGTCTCTCGCTGCTCTTACCCTTTGCCTTTTCTTTCAAACATCCATCTGTGTCTGTCTCTCCGTGTCCCAGCAACTCATAAAGAGACTCTCTCCACCTCATTCATCAACAGCCTCCTCTTGATCCGCCTACTTTGGGCACGCTCACGCGCACACTCACTTCCTCCACAGATTGCCTCTCATCTATATTCTGTAGTACTCTACAGCACAACGCGAACAGATGGATTACACTCCTGGCTGCTGAATTATGCACCAACATTTCTCGACCCAGAGAGCGATAGAGAACAAAGAATGTGAACGCACGAGGGCTTCGGGCCAGAGGTCGAGTCTCTCGATCCCGCAGTGTGGGACTGTTTGGAATGCATCATTTGCTTCACCAGTTGAACGGCCAAATTCATAATGGCCTGTCCATAACCAGTGAAGAGGGCGCGCAAGCAATAAAAGAAATCATGTAAGTATTATATACATGCATGGACACACACCTTGACCAGCTCCATGACCAGGTAGAGTTCGCTGTAAGTGTCCACTTCCTCGATGAGCAGAACAATGTTTGGATGCTTGACCCTCCGGAGGATGGCCACCTCGTTCTGGATCATGTGCTCCTGGAAATAAGAATTGAAATAGATCTTAGCCAAGTGAATCAAACTTGTTAAAAACGGGAACTCGGTAGGTGTGATGAACCGCCACAAGAAGTGCTGGAGGTCAGTGACAACAGGATTTTCAGACAATTGTAATTACTTTTTAAGTGAAACAGATAAACTACTTTTTATTTTAGCTCCTGTTCAATGAATCCTGCATAGAAATGATGCAGGTGCACCGATGAACCGCAAACTGTTGTTTGTTTGATAGTTTTGTTCTTCTTCCTTTCGGTTTTTTACTTTAATTGAACTTTAAAAAATCTTCAAATGTCATCTGCTCATCTTCAAAAGAGTTACTTCTGTACATATATTACACCAGTTTTGAATTTAAGTAAGCTTTTTTGTCTGCATGCGTAACATTTAAGCAGGCAACAGTGTTCCTAATAAGGTGGGGAAGCTTTGCAGAGTGCTTTAGTGCCTTTGGAGTCATACTTTACCTTGCCTCTGCATCTTCCCTTGTTGATGATCTTCAGAGCGTACTCCCGTCCCGTGGTGTGCTCCACACATTCTCGGACGACTGCAAAGTTCCCGTCGCCTAATGTGCGTCCGACCTTGTAGCGATCTGATATGTAGGACGGCACGGCAGGAACCTCATCGACTAGAACTTCAGCTACAGGGAGGGAGAACGAGGTTTAGAGGGGCTGAGGGACCCACGTTTACACTTTTTCTCTGGCAGATAAAGACTCATTTTCCACACACAGGTAATTAGGCAGAGCTGAAGCGTATTCTGCTAATGACAAGGAAATCATTCATATTTAACAAGGCACCTTAGCAAACGTATTTGCAGGGTATGAACACCCAATTAATGATTAAGATTTTTATTGATATTAATAGATTGATAAATGGAAAGAAAAGGTAAATGGAAAATACAAATTAACAGGTACTTGAAAATGTGTAGAACATAAAAAATAAATAGAATGGTTATGAATCATTTTGACTATGAATTTTATTGTTCTAAATTAATTTCAAAACCAATGAGGCCTCTATATCCAACATTTTGTCATATTATCCCTGCAGAAAGCTCTTTAAATGGCAAACTAACTAGTAAATATACATTAATTAATTGGTTCCTAACATTTAAGAAGATCCTCTATATGTAAATAAAATCTAAAGATGAAAACTGAAGACTGTTAGAGGTCTGTGACTCAACATAAATTAATACAGTTGTCTTTATAACCTTTACACTATTTACCAGCACATCATAGTTTGTACTGCCACAGAGTTTTATGGAGTCAAAGAGATGAAAAAAAAGGGGAAAGAGTGAGAAATAGAGGGGATGAGAACGGGATGTACAGCAGCGATGGGAGAGAGAGACGCATCAAAGGTCAATGGAATGATTCAGACATTCATGGTATTTGCCAGATGGGGTGTTCTTGTTACCGTCATTTTCCTCACCTTCAGTAACAGTTTCATCGCTCTCCTCCGCTGAGCCGGAAACTTTAGTGGACGACAAAGAGGCAGAAGAACCCTGTGACTCCTGCAGAGACAGAGAGCAGGATGTCAAAGAAACCTTTTTTGCTATTACAGAGAAGTCTATAATCCACTCCACACATGAAACAGTCCCTTCTGTTACAATCCCGGAAAAATCTATACATGTCCATGTACAGACAAAAGGACACTGTGAACCACTCAGAACATCCTTACGTCTGTCTTTGTATTTGTATACTGCTGCCTTGTGCTGTGTGTACACTGTGCTCACAAAAAGAGCCAGGAGAGACTTACTTGACTAAAAATAAACCGGTTACTAATTCATCAAACAACATGTGTGTGTGTGTGTTCGAGTTGGACAAACAATCACATCCCAGTAAGCGCTTCTCCATTAACAGAACTTTAAGTCATTTCTATCTATTTGTCCCTTCTTTTTGCTACTCACCACCTTTAAATAACAGCGTAAAACTAATATTCCGATGAATAATAAAGTGGAATGAATACTGCCTTTGAGATAGCTGGAGAATAGGAGTCCGTGTAGGGAAAGGAGATGCAGCATTTGCCTCTATGTAAAGACAAAAACTCATAATGCCCTCCACCTCATAACCTTCCGTCTGGTTGTCATGGAAGCACCGAGGGCGGGAGCTATGGTCTAGTCGGGACTGTAAATGAGAATTTACGCCTCTCGAATTTCCCTGTTTCATGCACTTCTCTACTGACCATCTTTCTCTTCTCCAAAATGTTCCCATATTTGGACCACGTTATCTATTTGGGAGCTAAACGTGATTCTCGCTTTTCTTCGTCTCCTTCTCCGGCTTCAGTCAGTCCTCAGGACACCAATGTGGTCTGGTGGCTTTCCAGTGCTTGAATAAAGCCTGCAGGTGCAGCTGGCACATGCGGCCTGGCCAGTGATTGAGGTGGCCACCATAATAATTCCTTTCAGAATGTGAGTTATCAACGTGTGCAGCATGAGCCAATCCATGTGCTTTAGAGAGCAGTGCATTAGAAGTTTGTCTAATGATACATTTTACTTTCATCTCTCATTTCAGTGCAATTGTAGTTATTCTGATGCTGTTCCATTGTGAATTTATATCAAAGAATTTGCACGCCAATCAGCCCTGAGTCCTTCGAAGAGACCAGATCTAAAGAGTGTTTTCTCGAAATATGTGCTGCTGCCTGTCCTTATAATAACCTTGAACAAATGATAAACATTTGCTATTCTGGCAAGCGTGCTTCTGCTTTCTTGTTTCTGCCCTTTGCAACAAAAGCGCGGTGCATTTATTCAGTTAGAATGCATGCTGAAAACTAGAAACAACCTCTAATATTTATGCTTTCCCATCAGACTGCGGTGCAGCCTAGAGAATTTGCGGTCATGGTAGAAGGAAAAGCCACCCATCATAACAACGTAGAACTGAAAACTATTTACAAAGCTGAGCTGCCTTATATCTCAACCCAAGTAACGTCCCGCGCGTTTGCTCATCTCGACCAGTGTGACCCAAAAGCCACCCAGTGTGAGTGGACAGGTGAGTCGGACTAGTTTGGGTTAATGTATTGTTGTTTTTGCTCGGGCACCGGAAGAAGGAAAACCCTCTTAATACTCCTAAAACTCGATGACCCTCCTTTGCTTTATTTTCAAAACATCAGCCATCGGCTCCTTTATTCTCTCATCCTGACACGTACAGTCGCCCCTCTTGTGCCTTTATCCCACACCCAGCCCTGTCCTCGACTGGCTTTCTCATTTTGAACTCCCATCTCTCTTTTCCTGCCACCGAGGGAAACAAAACACTGTTGCTATGGAAACTGCTCACAGAGAAGAGAGAGGAGAGGCAGCTTATGAGACTTGCAGAGAGGAGACAGAAGCCTATATATGGCCATTTCCTGTTTGCTGTCTGGGAGGTAGGTTTGCCCTTCTACGAACATTGAGTCCCTCTTTCCTGTGTGAATAACGATGAGACAGATGGAGCGACAGACAGAGTGAGAAGAGACTGTGAGGCAGAGAGAGACACGGGGAAACAAAGAGACTAGGAGAAAAGACATATGGAGTCTGATACGGGAACTGTCTTGTTATTGTTAGACCGTCCGGCTTTGTCCCCGCTGCACAGCACCACTTACACTATTGCTAGCTTGACATCGCTACACTTTTGCTCTGGCTATGACTCACACCAAACATAAATAAAAACATACACACACACACACACACACTGACAAACCTTTTACATCATGACAGCAACGACTGCTCTTCAAAGCGCCACGGGGGCCACTCAGCCACTGAATGGCGATCAGCGCATTAATGCAAATTCAATGTTAAATATGGAGGATCATCTCAGACGTTAAACAGCAGAAATGATTAAAAGGAACTCAGTCAACAGCAGAATTACGCATTAAAAAAATGCACCACAGATTTACAGAAACGACTAAAGAGCAATGCAAGCCTTCCTCAGTGACCCTGTTTGAATTCACAAGCAACACACATCCCCAAACTGTCTCCCTCTCTGTGCCCCAGGCTGAGGGAGCCAAACCTCAAAAAACATTTGTCATTTTCACTCTCAATATCTAGAAGCAGGATTTACTTTTGTTTTCTTCAGTGGAAAAGCATCGAATATGATGAGATAGAAATAGGGCACTTTGTTTTGTCCCATGTTCCACTCTCAAAGGAACACAGGAGGTAGAGGAGATGATCTTTCTTAGCTCTTATTTTGGTGTCTAGACAGACAGGAAACATAATCAATTTGACTCTCATCTGAAGAGATCAACAGTGTCAGGGGACTCAGTCTTTCTGCTCTGCCAGTTGGACCCAGGGAGGTTTCCTAATCACAATCCTTATGGGCCGCAATCCTGCGGAATCCCAGGAACAAGATTAAATGCTTTACGGGGAATAAAAAAAGGAGAAGAACTGAATAGACGGGGGAGATGAATGCTCCACTCGCAATGAGTTTGTGTTGTGTACTTTTTCCTCTCCTGTGCTGCACACAGACACAAGTTTACCAAAAGAGAACCGAACAGCTTTATCATAATCATTTGACACCTACTGGAATTGCTCTCTGTTTTTGCATATGATGAACATGATGATAGGGTTAATCAACACACAGTGGGAGCATCAGAATAAAAACACAACATGAAAATGAAATGACAATAAATTTAATGATGACATCAACAAATGGAAATTAATACATTAAAAGAAAAATGAGGTACAAACAGAAACAAATGAGCCAAGAAGAGCTGGCGGCCTTACATGACAAACTCCCAATATGTAAGTGATGGACCAGGTTATAGAATATAATTTGCCTGATAGAGCACAAAGACAATCAGAACAAAAAAGTATTTCTGCAAAAAGCAGCAGAAAATGTTGCAGACTAAAAGGTATTTAAACTGGTATTTCAATCTTTTGTGCGAGTGAATTGAAATGAATAAAATATGGAAGATATAATGTTTAAGCTATAAAATTGCAGCAATTGCAAAATCCTCCAGTTTCCTCATGTGCTGCAGCCAGTCCTTTTGGCGGTTATACAATAAGAACAAAAATTGGACAAGAGTTCTAATGACATCAACATGACAGAAAATGAGAGATATAATTAACCAAATCAACAAACAAATATAAGTAACAACACACTCACATGAGACAATAATACACGACTTTTTACAAACAACCCTTCAGTCGGCTATCTCTATCTCTGTCTGTCACACACACACGCAGACACACACGCACACAAACCGCAACACGCTCACAGACACCCGCATGTTCACACAGAATTTAATTATGAATCACCCAACAAAAAAATATGGACGGTAATGAGAGATGGAGCATGCAATTCAAAGGATTATGGAAGTGAATGAGTCAACGGTGAGAGGAGGATGCAAGTGACATACTACGGTTGACAATTATCACTTTCTTTCTCTCAAACGCTCACACAAACAGATACCTGACTAAATCACAGCTGCTGTATTGGCATCACAGACCTTCTGTTTGTCCTGCCTTCAATCTGTCGGTCGCTGTGCTCGGAGTACTGTCTGTTTTTCTATGATTTGTTTCCCTGTCTGTTGTCCCCATTAGGTGCGAAAAAGAAATATGACTTGGGCAGATCATACGATTTATCCGTACGTGGAAGAACGGACATGGACAGTAAAGAAAATGCTGAGTCTGTGTCTGGAGGTTTGAAATTAAATACGACTGCAAAGCAATAACCAGGTGATGAGAAAAGTGGCCCTGAAAGGAACCTACGAAGCAAAGCAGAAGTAGAGGATGGATCGCGAATCATGAATCTGGACCATCCTGTTATGCTTCTGTTGTCCTAACGGCTCGCATGAAAAACCCATTAAACGCGTAACATGTTAATGTGCAAGCTGTTATCCACTGTGTGTGCACTAAAGGGGATTTCATTTACTTTTTTCTGAAGCATACATGAGCGTTTACGTGATTCTGAAGCCGTGTGCTTCGATGGGAAACAGAAAAATCACAGTTCACGCAATGTCTGTGTATTCTGCCTTGGGAAATAGGTTAGGATGATCTGAGCTGTGCGAGCATTCCACATCAGCCAGCAAAGTGCTTCTAAGTGGTTAAAGGCAGGGCCCAGCGAGGTGAACTATAATGCTATTCTCATAGTGGGTCACCAAGGGTTTTGTTGCTGCCTGGGAAAGGGATTCACGGTAGCTTTTAATACCTATTAGGATGATATTTAACAATATATTATGAATATAAGCACCAGATGTTCTTTGGAGAAGCCAGATGTTAAAAACTCAAGTTTAATTTGAAGGAAAACGATCATTTCTGGTTTAGTTCGATTCATAACGCATTTTAGGTGTTATTATGGTGAGAAAAGTACTTCCTTGCCATTGTAAGCACAACAATGAAAGGGTTTTGGCAGGTGTATTCAATATTTGCGATTATTCATGCCGGTTTACACAAAGGTGATGTGCAAATAGTCAGAAACTTGGCGCCCACTTCCCCAAGAAGCTTAGACCAGAGAAATAATGCAATACTATTTTTTCCCGTGAAGTCAAAACCCTTTCCTATGGGGAAATGACAGGGGGGGGTCGCAAAGACGGGTGGCTGGGGGAGAAAGTGATAGACGGTGACAGATGGCGTGAAAGAGAAATTAGAATGAATCGCTAACTGTGTGAACGGCAAAAGTAAGAAGTGGCGAGAGGGAATTTCACCATATAGCTGGCGAGTGGAGAGGAGCGATAATGGGATGCGAGTCATCCTTCCTTCCTTCCTTCCTTCCTTCCAGCCAAGCCATTGCAGGCTTAGTACAGAGCATCAGCGAGTACAAAGACCTAGATAATCTCTTGTTGAAAAACGCAGACTTGTGAAACTACAAAAATAGAGGTCAGGATCGCGGTGCATCGCTAGTTTGTGATGGCTAAAGTGCACTAAAGCAAAAGGGCACGTGGCGGGCTTCAATCTGGAGAGGATGGGGGGGATATTTTCATTCCTTTTTCTCATTACATCTGATAGGCCTCCTTCAATCTCTAACCCAAAATTAAAGGAAACAACAGAGTAAGAAAAAGTCGGTACTGTAAAAAGTAGAAATGTTTGCACTTTGCCAACTTTTGTCTCCCTTTCCACAATGAGATCTATGGTGACCCACTTATATTATACAGGAGACTGTAGGCGCTGCAGTGCACCCTGTTCTGTTCTCAGTAGCTACAACCCAAATCTGATGTGTCCCTGATCTGTCCCCGGCTGACCTTCATATCACATCAATGTAACCTCAGCACCGATGGGCAGAAACTCTCCACCATTCATTAATTCTGCCTGGCAAATGTAGCACGAGACAGACGCGACTGAGCTCAAGAGATGAATTATTCATGCTATGCTGATTTTAGCCTACACACGCTCATATACGAGCAGATATAATTCACATACCACTATGACATTCTGTGTGCTATCAAAAAGTTATTTAATCAAAAAAGAATTCTTGACTTTCCCTTTTCTAAAAAAAAAAAAAAAATGATAATGTAAAGTGTCAGTATGGTTGAGAAACCACTCGCATGCTGAAGCCCATATGTGTACGCGACAGGTTTACATACACTGCTTTGTCTCTAAGTTAATTTAAGAGGGTGAGGTGAACCGAGCGTGCAAGAGTGTGTGTGTGTGTGTGTGTGTGTGTGTGTGTGTGTGTGTGAAGAGGGAAAAGGAACTTAATCAGCAGCGGACTTAAAGTTCCTGCAAATTAAAGAGCTGCTGACAGAAAGCAGGGACTGATTAGGATTTGAGGTTGATATTAAAAGCTCACCATCGTTACTGTGAAGGACTGGGTTCACAAATACTTTGATCTCGAACGCACGCAAACACACAAACACCGTGCAACATTCGACTGTGGAATTCAAGTATTTTCTCCATTTGAGTTGCATGCTCCTTCTCAACACAGCAGTATTCTCTCCATAGTGACTACCAGCTTTACAGCGTACATAGCGTTAGCTACAGCAAACACATTGTAAAGAGATCCAATTTACTAGTATGAACCGGTTTCTACATTTTTACATAAATGAATGAAAAATAAAATAAAATTCATGATCAGTAGTTATTACTGGCTGGGCCTTTTTTAGTCTCTCAGATTAAAAACAGACACAAAGTGCGACCCATCAGTCAAAGTTTTAGATCAGATATTGCACAATTTACTGACTGACAGACCTCTAAAAGCCTTCATTGTTTAGCTACCAAAGGCCAACAGCTTTCCACAAGTAACAGAGATCTACCGGTCGGCATAAACGGGAAACATATTACGTGGAATGAGGAATTGCCCTTTAAAATCTACTAACACTGGATAACAGTTGTAACATTAGAGAATCCTAACATGGGCCTGCCATTCATGGAGTCCCAGCGCACCACTGTGTGAGGTCAAAGGTTAGCACCCGACCCCCTGTCTGAGACACTTAAGATGTTGGGATGTTGTGGATTTTCTTCGTATTTCTAGCGACTCTTAAGACGAGGTCGGCCTATGCTCAGTCAGGGACATTTCCTTTTCCTGAGAACATAGAGGCAACGTGTTACAGGCGGCTTGTCACTAAACGCTGTGGCCGACGGTTTGAGTGTCAATGTGGGCGTATTCTCGTCTTACCTGACGTCGGCTCAGGCTCCCTGGGCTGGTTGGAGAGGGGCTGGGAGACTTTCCCGAATGGGGAGTGGACAGCTGACTGGCCGGCGCCCCGTTCACTGGAGAGGAGAAGACGAGAGAGGAAATGGAGCGATGGGGTTGCGTGAGATGGGCGAGGAACATCGGAACGAGGTATCCTTTCAATGTGATAACGTTGTCTGGTGAAGCTTTATTTCTGAGTGCGCAGCAGCAGCAGCAGCCCACACTTCCGCCCTCGGCATCTCTCCATTCACATGGATGAGGTGGAAGAGGGGGAGTTAGGGAGAAAAGAGCACGGAAGTCCACAGTGCTCTTTTTTTTTTAATAATACAGCCAGTGCAATTCCTGTTGCTTCAAATCTGCCCGGAACAAGCCACTTAAACCTGAACCTTTAAAAACAGATGTGCTCTGAATAACTGCGGCCAGGACCGGGCTTCAAGTGCTTTGCTGGAAGTCAACACACAACACTGGGCTGTCCTAGTTTTCGCACTTCTGACCTCAGCGGTATACAATTTCTCCAGCTGCAGCACAGCACAACAAGCCAGCGGCATCACCTCATTAAACAGGAACATGAGGTTAATCAACGCTGCACCAGAGTCCTGTGTGCAGTCGTGCAAATTACAGTTTATTTTTTTTCTAAAGCCTAAAATCCTCATTAGCTTGCACACAGGGAGCCTTACTAAAAACCTGGATTATTGTCTTTTGTCCTTATCTCAAGTCAAGGTTGTCAAGCAGACACATGGGTTTAGGAAAGTGCAGTGATTGGATAATACAAACTGAATTTTGCAATTATGCAATTCATGTCATTTATATATATATATTTGTGTGTGTTTGGGGAGAAGCACAATATTCGTACAGAGCTCTGAAAACCAGCTTTAATAGTCTGAATGATTTCCTTCACAATAGGTTAAATTCATGATTTGTAGGCATTTTAAGTAACTTCATAAAATCAAATAACGCAACTTCTCCGTCGTATTACCTGAAAATAAATGGTAATATAAGACAATACAAACACCACATTTCTTGATTTTCCTTTTTGGTAATATTCTCATCAATTACTGCCAAAAACACGATTTAATTTGCAATCCCCACCTCATAACCCTTTCAGAGACCATCTTTCTTGATGCAGCAGAGAATGGAAAACTGTGTGGGGGGGCAGTAAGTGGTCCAACATGCACTGTGTAGCGTTTATTCCCTGCAGAGATCAAAGAACTTTCTGAATTATTCAACACAAAGAGATAAAGCCCACAACAGAGAGGTATAGCACATAATAGCACCGGCTGCCAACGCATTAGGAGGCTTTCCATATTCTCACAAAACGAGGCCATGATAAATGGAATAGATTCCTGGACATCTTCATTGATGAAATGCATCATCGGCGTTACGCACACGGACCCACACTTACGGGGAGCGTCAACGGTTGAATAAGACATCTGGGACTAAGCTACTACAGTCAATGATATTCAGAGTCACACCGCTGTGGACCAACACACATCTGCGTGTGATCCGAGAAGGAACACGTGAAGTTCACGCCGTCGCGGCGCCGTTTAAAGGCGATGGGTAGAATCGGTGTTTTTGGGGGGTTCCTACCTTCCTCTTCCAGCATGATGAAAAACACAGTGATAGTCCAACGGGAGGAGAAGGGTGTGAGGGGGGGGACACGAACAAAAAAAAGGAAAAAGAACAGCACCTCCGTGTGCTCTTCGTCCCGAGTGTGATTGTGAAACGCGCTGGATGGGAAACACGGAGCAGAGCGGAACGCGCGGCGGCGGCGAGGAGGAAAGGCTGCTTGCGCAAACTCTGACGCGCACCGGGGACCGGGAGTGAGAACCGGAGGGAGGGGGGGAGACGGAGAGAGAGAGAGAGAGAGAACGGGAGGGAGGGAGGGAGAGTGAAACGTAAGCATATGATGGATTTTCTACCACCAGAGCACAGAACTGCGTTGAGATTTGTATCACCAGAAAATGTGAAAATGCTTCTGTACTTTGTTGGTCGTTTATGCTGCAGACGGATTGGGTCATGGATTCTGAAAGCTCTATTGTTCCAATATAGAATATATAGTTCCATCCTCACGAATAAATGCCCTCTTATATATCTATTATCTATATTCAAGGGTCCCCCCCCCCCCCCGCAGATTATCTGGCCATGAGACGAAGTTTAACAGAGCAGCTGTTAAGGTCGGATGCTTCCTTGCATCAGCAGTCAGTATAATGTACACAGTAGGCTATACCATTATGACAAGTGATGCAGCCATTTTTGGCTTCTTTACCACCTGCAGGGTCTGCATAACACTTCTCCAGGAAGCTGTACTAGCAAGTAATATGGATACAGACCTCTCGGAGCTCCCGCTAACCATCGTGCCGAAGGATACAGGCTACATGTTGGGAAATGAATTTAAAAAAAGAAGTGGGAACGGCCTCAAAATGTTTATGGAATATATTATATGCAGCTGATATAGTGACTAAATCATGTTATTTTTTTGAATAAAAAGCTGGGATTTTCAACCTTGATGAATTAATGGTCGTTGTCATCATCATCATCATCATCATATGTGCTCCTTATCACACGTGTTTTATCTCACAAGTATTTTGAGAACCACATCAAACAAATACTGTGTGGTAAAAATGGAACATGAATAATGACAGAGACATGCGGCTTTTGACACTGTGTTTGTAATAAATAGAAGTTCATGTACGCTAAGTGCTGTTCAAAGAAATTTCTACATTAGAAATTATTGTGAAAAATGTGCACATGTAATCTGAGAGTTATCCTCTTAACTAATGTTTGGAGCAATTGTTTCTATGAAATACACCAGGCAGTCAAATATTGTACATGTATGATGACTGGAAGTACTTTTTTGTTTATATTTTACAATCTTTCATCAGCACATTTACTTTTGTAAATATCAGTACCAGACTGTGTCTCCTTTTATCATTTTGTTATTTGTTATGCTTATTCACTTATAGTAGTTATTTTAAATACATTTGTACATTTCATAGTGGAGGTAAAGGCTGCAGGTATCATCCATCCATCGTCAAACCGCTTATTCTGCACACAGGGTCGCAGGCTGCAGGTATCACTGGGTTGCAATTCAGATCCTCTGTACTCTGGATTTGTTTGCGCTTTGTCCGCCCTGGAAGCGCCATACGTAGCGTCTCACGGCGGAGAGGGAACGGCGAGGCCCTGAAGCATCAGAAGGGATTCTTGCTGACACCATCTCCACTCCTCTGTTAACTTTGGCTGGCATGTAGCATCAGAGAAGAGCCCAAAACAGATGGCGAGACAGCGAGAGAGAGTATGAGCGCAAATTGTTTTCTCACATTATTTCGGGTCTGTAAAGGCACTCAGCCGGAGCTGTGAGATCATCGCAGAACGAAGCTCAAGTGGTGACAATGTCAGGCTGACACACAGCAACCGGCACACACACACACACACACAAGCACAAACCTGAGTAAAACATCAGACCGCAAGAGATTCCTTTGACACCTCGGAAACCACTGACTGAAATTGTAATTTTGCTTCAGATTTAGTCAACTGCAAACACTAAAAGTAGGCTTATTTTTTGTGTGTCGTTGTCACACTTGTTAATACCTGAACTATATACAAGACATTAAACCCAGTGTGATTCACAACATATCAGACACTCCAGAGGAAGAGGTATCAATAGTATTAAATTGAATAAAGAGTAATTCCCCGGTGGCGTATTTGTTGTTATTACTGGTGTTTGCAAATTGTTAAATGTGCATACGAGTCATCATTAATATGTGCTGATTTGCATATATTTTCAGAAGAGAAGAAATTGGAAAAATTCAGGTTCTAATTGTTTATAACTTTGCATGAACTGAATACATCTTTGATTTATTTTGGCAGAATAAAATTGTCTTATGTGATAATACATTGCACAATGAAGTCGTAAAGTATGATCTCAAATAAAAATGTGGGACAAAGGCAGGATTATCTTATCTTATCTATAAGCCATACAGCACACAATATCAGCCATTGTTGACTATTAACATAATTGGAGGACAAATTGTCCTAACGGGAAGGGGGGTGGTGACGTCTGTGGATATTGACGGTTAAAAAAATCAAGCAGAACGTCCGACAGGGTCGAACAGCAGATCAATTAATTACCTCTCATTTCCTCCCGTCGCTCCACTCGACCTCTGCACATCGTAAAGGGATGATGATACACAACAGTTAAGTAGCAGAAGCGGCGCCACGGGGGGGGGGGAGGAAGTTTCTCAGAAGCCAAAACGTAGGGACGCTCTGACTCACAGACCAGCTACACAGGATCGAGCGTCAGTCGGCTGCGTTAGCCACCGCTGGCCACTTCACAGGAAGTCACCGCCATATATGGCTGTCACAGACTATTGTGTCTGTAGCTTCATGCTGCTACTGTGCTATGTTTCCATGGCAACCGAGACGAGTCCTTTTTTCTTCCTCCTCGGTGTCTCGTTCTCCCTCTTTCACACGCATCAGAACACACCTTCAATCCAGACTTGTTTCAGCCAGCAGGATCAGACAGCGTATGAGTCATTGTCATAACCTTTACCCCAAAGTTTTCAAGCCATATGCAGAACTTTCTCTTTTCAATGGCACGTTTAATAATCTTCTCCTCTTGCTTTCACCTCAGCCTGACACAAAACATAAAAACACAACTGTGGGTTTCCATTCTGCCACGCTGCATGGTGTGTGTCTGTGAATGCGTGTGAGCTTCAACAGCAGGTGGAGTGACTTCATCTGAGGAAGTTTCCATATCTTGCCTCACCCATAGAATAATTTCCAACCCAAAAGGTCTCTGTGCTCTCAAATCCCCAAATAATAGCAGGAAGGATGAAAAGGCCAGTGTGCGTTTTTACACACAGCCAAAGCCTAAGCTTTGCAATCAGCTGGGCCAGCTAAACACACACCAACAAAGACACACACACACACACACACACACATTCAAAGCTAGAGCTGGATACAATTGGCACAAACAATGTAGCAGGTAGCAGTTCGAGCCCTCACCGTTTTATACATTGTATTTGTACGGCAGGTGAAGAACTGGCTGTGTGGATCTGCTGGATTGAGTCACCAACCTCTTTCCCTCTGGTTCCCTTCTCATCTTCACTCCCCCATTTTTCACCCATCTTTCCCTCTCCCTGTTTGAAATCATTCTCATTTGAATTGATATTCAAGAAGGTACAGCTCACACACACGCACGGTAAATAAAGCCAGACCCTGCGCACAGCTCTGAGATCATTGCAGTCTTTGCTCGTACCGTTTTCATTTGGCACGACGTTGGTTCAGTAATGAGCTAGAAAATACTGAGCAATCACGTGAGGACGTATGCAAACAACTCCAAACTGCGTCCATCACGTCGGAGAGAATGCACACACTCCTCCTCATGCACACACACAGGTGTAAGGGTACTTAAAAATGACAACGGCACAATGCCAAGTTCCATTAACAAATAAGTTCCTTGAGAGAAAGAGGAGTAAAAGATGAAGAAAGGAAGTTACCGGATGCGGGGGACTTGCTGCGTCCTGATTGGATGGCGGTCCTGGGAGAGCTTCGGCTCAGAGAGGCAGACGTCTTTCCATAGTTCACCAACTTCATCACACGACACTCTAAAAAGCATTAAGAGAAGAGTGACATGTGATCACAACGTACAAACTCCTTTGCATTCGTTTAATCATCGACTGACTTAGTCAACAAATATGTGTTTTGGAAAAGCTTAGAAATACAGAATTAAAATTCAAACAAAGTAGCAACTGTTTTTGGCGAACCCGAAATCAAGCACTGGAGGAAAGTGATTCTGTGATATAAGATTATGTTTTGACACCTAAAAGAAAAACTGAGCAACTGAAATACACGTCACTTCTGTTTAAATGAAAACTAACATTTTATGGAAACCTGACCAACAAATGTTTTCATATTTTTCATTGATTTTGACCTTTTGTCAAGAAAACACCAAAGCACTAATGTACCAACACAGCGGTAAGTGGTTTTACCTTCAGGTCCCCTGCAAAAATGAGTTCTGACCTTCACTTTCCAAACGCTGTTATTGTGGTGTTTTTTTTTTTAGGAGCGACAGTTCTGACTCACGGAGGTCTGATCATTTTATTTTATTTTATATTTCACGCACACCATGATCAATGAGCCAAGTAAACACACCCTCCCTCCCTCCTTCATCCCTCACAATTTGTATCCTCGCCTGCTCATTAACCCAGCCCCCATTTTAGCTCATTTCCATTTTAGACTAGCGGGAAGGGAAATCACGCATACTGCTGTGCGTGCGTGCGTGTACGAGTGTGTGTGTGTGTGTGGGGGGGGGGGGTTGTTATATGCTTGTGTGGCAGTTATTTTGGCCTCGTGATTAATGTACAATGTGGAGTGTTAACGTGATGACAGTGTGCCAGGGCTGAGGCAGAGGTGATGATTATGTAGTGATGCTGAGAGGAGGCGAGGTTGTCTGCAGCTCCGACTGTCACTGTGTGTCTGCTGCGTTTGTCGCTCTACTTTCCCATCCGACTGTTTCTCTGCCTTGAGCCTCCTGAGCCTCCCCCAGAGCAAGAGGAGGTGTCAAAAGGTGCTCTCTGTCTTCTGGGACAGTGTGTGTGTGTGTGCATGCGCACACTGGTGCAGACCTTAATCATGCAAAAAATGTAGTTCCCCACAAATACCTTTAAATACACTTGAAAGTATGTGTTTACCAGAGGGTTAAGGTTAATACTTGTGACAGATTGGAAATTGTCTTGTACAAACAGACCTGTGAAATGAACAAGCCAGTTTTTATATTGTCATTAATGTCAATAAGAAGAGTAATCATGGCCAAAATTTCTCAAACAGAATTTAACTTATTCTGAATAAAAGCTAATTTCAACGAAATGAGAATTCTGATTAAATCAATATAACACTCAAGGCGTTCATGTTCTCTGCAATGATAAAATATTGAAGGTATTTAGGTAAAGCCGAGACATATCGCTTGTCTGCATCTATATTAAAACTACTTGCAGCTCTACACATCTGTTTTTTCATCAAGATTAAAACCAACTTCTGAGTCTGGTCTCATAAAATGATGCGTTTGGGATGATGATGATCAAATCGCAAACCCCTGAGTTCCCTTATTTGAAGTATTACAAATGTAAACTATGCCTGTTTAAAGAACCGCACAGCCTTATTTGGATTTTCGGTGGAAGTTTTCAGCCTGTGGCCAAATAATGCGGTAAATAAGTGTGATATTTTTGAAAACTGAAGGTTTTCAAAGGGCATGAAAGAGAACAATAGAATGCCAGCCCCCTTTGGTGGGTCCCATGACTTTGTCAACCCGTTCTGATGTATTCTGCCATGAAATGCAGATGTATACTTTAAATGCACAAAATAGACCTTGCACACTGAAAAACCGACACAACCCCAAACAGCAGGAAAAACAATGGACTCGGTGTTTCATCATCATCAGTAACTAATGAAAATGCTGATCCTGGAAACACTCTGTGCTGTGGTCTTTCACAACAGAGAACTGAGAGCCGACTGAGAGAGAACTGAGACCATTACATCTTCCAAATGAAAGAAGAGTAAAGGGCAACGGAGGGAGGAATAAAGAGAAAGAGTGACAAATAGGAAAGGAGGTGGAGGATGGTGACCCAGGTGGGATGAATATTATTTAATGGATGAAGGGATGGAGGGGGAACAAATGAACTGATGAGCAAGCAAGCCAAGTCATGTAGTAGAAAGGAAGCAGGATGAGAGGGTGAGAATACAAATGAGCCCCAAATGGCAGCAGTATGAGAGAGGAGGGATGGGGGGGAGGGGGGGCAGACAGAGAAACACAGATGGGGAAAGTGAGGACAGAACGTATCCTCAGTGGACTCGGCTGGGGTCAGGCGGAAAAGATGAAGAGTAACAGTGCGGTTAAGGTGCATTCGGGAGGAGAGAAGGTGTGATGAGTGAGTAATAAAGGACCTCAGGGACCTGAACCACGGAGATGTTGCAACTTATGTGAGTAAGAGTAAAAAAATGTATCAAATGTATACATTTTTCTTCATTTAATTAATTCATATTTTGGCTGATGAACAGAAAGTGGTTGATTTGGCAAGTTTTGCCATTGAGGAGGACTTTAAAATCAGAACATGCCCACAAGCTTCTCTGTGAAAACACAATAGTCTGAAGAAAATGATCAATTACAAGAGGATTTTTAAGACATCGAGTTGAATGGAAAACCTTTCAATAATCAAAATTTATGTCTACTGCACTGAACTGCATGGTAATACAAATCACATTTGTGACACTAAAACTTGATATATACTATCGAAATTACAGAATATTTGATCACAGTGATTGAATTTTCTCCAGAAAACCGTTCACACCAAAATGAGAAACCTCTGGTGGGGATTTGAAGAAATGGAAGTCAGATGTGAAATGTTATAGCGTGGAAATGTCAGACCACCTACTAGTAGCCTCACCACTCTCATCCAACATCAAGTCGTCCTGGTAGCGGAACTTCTCCGGTCCACACGCCACAAAAACGTCCTCGTCGCCGAAGAAGTCTTGCAGACACGACACCTGGCAACAAAAACACGTGGATGAGTTTAATCCTTTTTTATTCAACATCAAATTAAATTCCGAGTCATGATGCGAGTTAATTAAGCAATCTTCTACTCAGATGGCATCTTTCTAAATTAAGGGGCTAAACACCTTTTTCAAAGACACCTCAAACAATTCCTTTTGTTGGAAACAAGAAGAGCTTCAGGCAGCTATACTTTCCCAGCTTATCTGCAGATCCATGAATGACAATTCTCTGGTTAGACTTCTGTTTTCATTTCAAAACTATTGATCCTCTGCACAATTCCACACCGCACACTGACAGAATTGACCTTCCATTGACATGCACCGAGAACAGACGCAGATCAGGAACACCAGGTGAGTCGCCTTGCGCCTGCTTGTTCTTGTGAGTATGCACGTTGGTTGGCGTCATGAAGATCTCAATGCAGGGGCTCACATGTCCCTGGGATCCAGCATGGAGTTAATTTCTGCAGTTAATTAGTCTTTAAGAGACTATAATGAGACCTTGCTGACTCACTATTCTGCTTCTGGACGACCAGAGCAGGAAAGTATGGGGGTCTGTTTCCTGAGGACTAGCATCTTATGAATGGTAATAAGTTACAGAGAGAACCGACTCAAAGGCGAGGGAGGGAGAGAGGGAGATTTATGAGCTGCGGAGAGATTTATAAAAACAAAATAACAAAGATATAAGAGTGAGGGCATGAGGCAGAGAAGAATGTGAGATTGTTGTTGAATAAGTACAGCGATGACTCACAAGAAAACAACGGTGTCTTAATGAGTCACTGTCATTCTTTGACAGACTCCATACTGCATAGCTAATAGCAAAACCCAAGGTGGCTGATTTTTAAACATTAGGTCTCCTCCGACAGAAGGAAGGTTTCTTTAGGTCGTCTGCAGAAATGTAATTATCTATCTAATTAACACACAATTCATACATCTTCAAACTAAGCTGTGAACATTCTTTCTCAACAACCTAATTGTTGTTGTATTTGTAATAGCTCTTAATCAGCAATAAGATGTTTATTATGGCAAATAGGACAACACGCTGATCTTCATTTTCTATTTGATTAAGTAAACATCTAATCTGATCCAAACTCTGCATGATTTTCTTAAACAACTTTAATTACACCCCACAGGCAGCCATCACATTTCAATCCCAAGCCATTAATATTCTAAATCAGATTTTGTGTTGTGTTAGGCAATGATAGTCAGAAAGGGATTTACAGGAAAACAATATTTCAAAGCCAAAAACCTATTAGGAGCTATTAGAATTTAGCCTCTATTTATGTATATTACGCTGCCTGGAGTTAAGATAGAAACAAAAAAACTACCTTTATTGCATTTTAATAGGAATTAACACCAAAGAATCCATTTAGACTCCTAATAGCCTCCCAACAGCCCCAAAGAAAGTCACGGCTGATATGACAGCATCATCAACGAAATGCCCAATAAACTGAAGAGTGCACGCACGCACGCACGCGCACACACACACACAAGGGTGCGTGTGTGTGTAAGATGAGAGTCATACTGCTTTACCACCCACGGGCTCTCAATGGGCCGACGGGGGCACAGAAAGCAAGTTTAATCTCATACACAGACTCTCTGTGGAGAACGGATCAATTTCCTCTTTTCAAATCAATACGAGTGTGCTTGTCTGTGTTCCTTCAACAGCACGTCACATGAGAGCATGTGTTCCTGCACAGGCACATAAGGTTACAAACGTTTGGGATTTATATCTTCTATATTTGCATTGAATTTTTTTTTTCAACATTTTACTCGTCATTTGGATGATGCTGCAAATTATTTTATTAATGCTGGAGCACTCGAGTGGATACATGTATAGCTCTAAAGGAATGATAATGTCTTTTTTATTCACACATTTCAAGCTATAATCCTCCTCTTTGAGATTGTGGTCTTTTCAGAGGGCCCATGGCTTTTGTTCACAGCATCATGTGTGTTTGCTGCTGTGAGTCAGTCCGACCACGTCCTCAGGCCGGGACTGCTGCTGCTGCTGCTGGAGTCGACCAGGATGAGGTTGCCGTATTGAGGTCCTTTGATGCTGCTCGCCACGCGATTGAAACCGTACCAGACATGTTGGGTTAAACAGAATACATGCAGAATATAAATCAGATTGATGACAACATAAAAAGGACAGTGAGGGGGGTGGGGGGGGTGTCAGTGTCTTTGTGTGAGGCAGCATCCAAGGGCACTTTAAGCTCAGGGCAAACCATTATGGAGCAATGCATGAACAGATACTGTATGTTGAGAAGTGTGTGAAAAGTATGGTTGCCTTGGTGATTGTGCCCTGCAGGCATTGGCGCAGTTCTGGTGCATGCCACTGACTGCACGACGTGCATACTGTGATAGAGCTCCTTCATTCATCATTCATCTACTATATGCACGATACTCAGAACTGTGTCATTCACCTAAACTCACACACAAGTGGCTCATGGCCTGCTTTATCTCGAAATGCATTGTCTCCAGTCTATAGAAGAAGATGAAGAGGAGAGGCAGACGCTAAAAGTTGAAAAGAGAGGGTGAAGAACGATGAAACAACTCGGAAAATGCCTGCAGTTCGAGAGGAAACAAAGGTAATCGAGCAACGGAGGAGGTGATCTATTCCTGACTGCTGCCCAGAGCCCTTCTGAGCCCGATGACAATACGAGCCGCTCTGATGTCTCTGGCGCCGCGTTCTCACACAGAACCAGCGCCGTTACACAACATCAGCCGTGGCTAAAACAAGGAGGGGAAAAAACTAAGAAAGCAGGAAAAGAGGACACAAAATAAGATAATGAGAAAAGAGCTATTTTATAACACTGCCATCACAACTCAAACTACTACTCAAACTAAGTATTTTGAAAATCAAAATGAACCATAATCAATTTACTCTCATTATTTTAGATGAGCGTAAAAACAAATCAAGAATGAAAGAGCAGGCAGAGGTGTGTCAGGTTCCACGATTTTGTGCTGACAAAGATCACAAAGGGCAACTGCAACTAAGCTGCATGTCCTTTTTTTGGAGAGGTTAGTACAGAAATACAAAAAATACGTATCCTCTTAAATAAATAATAAATGACTCATCTCCTCCTGAAAATCTGTTGTACAACAAATAACTGTTCACTATGAATGCTTCTCGGTAAAGTCATTCATGTTGTCACTACGCCACCTAATGGACAATCAACAAACACCTCTTAAAGAGCCTGCTTCTAAATGTCCATTTTTTTCTTCTTTCTTTTGGATAAAATACATATGTATATTAATTCTCTTTAACAGCGTATTTTGGGCATACACAAGTCATATTATCATTTTATCAGCACATTAGCGCTTGGTTGGACCAATGTTCACAATCACTGACGCCACACGGTGGCACTGTTAGACAACCACATCCCACACATCCCAACACAAATTCAACTGCAGTACCACCAGGAAAAGCAGGGTGATTCAAAATAATGGAGGAGACTCACTTGACCCACTAACCACCTGGACTTTAGATTTAGGATCAAACAGAAAGAAGTAGGTATCAGAGCTTTGCTATAGAATCTGAGCAGACGCACAAAATGTGCATACATCCATCTTTTGATTGGAACGCACAAACAAATGACACTATCTGACCCGTTAATTTGTAAGAGACTATTCAGCCACAGACACGGCTTTTGAGCACCCCGGTTGTGCAAAATTATAGTGTTTTGTGTTCAGATAGTTTGTCGGGTTCTTCGCCAGATGCGCCTGTGAATCAGTCACTGTGAACAATGATCAGTGGAGACGCTACTCACTCTGCTCCTTTAGACAGAATATTTCTGTCTCCTTGTCAGATTATAGATTTACTGGGCTCATCCGTCAGCTGCTCCCCTTTCAGTTACAGCTATTGTGTGACGGGAAATGTGTGTGTTCATTATTTAGTAAGTCAGTTCTGAAACAATCAATCAAAACTTTAATTGGCAACAAAATTTTAATTGATATTCTTCCAAGTCGCTTATTAAGGAAGAATTCTAAATATTTATTTGTTCCCGCTCCTCAAATGTGAGCATTCAGTTTTTTCTTAGAATGAGTATATTTGGGTTAGGACTATTGGTGGGATACAAGACAGTTCCACTGGTATTGGAATTTTTTTTAATCGTCTGACATTTTATAGACTAAACATTTCCTCCCTTAATCCATAAATTATATTAATGGATAATGAATCAAATATTATTTGCATACCTGGCTCAAAAATTTGTCATTTGGTAATTTTCTCTGATAAACAGAGATTAAAACAAACGACTAGAGAGGAAACTAATTTAGATTCAACCTCTAATCCCTCGTCCAACAATGGATCCACAGCGGTTACAGAAAGGACATGGTGAGGTCAAAGTGATCCTGCCCGCAGAAGGACCACATGTTGACAGGATGAGCAGTTTTGCACTCGGTCAGGGGAGATAAGGTCAGTGGAGCTGTCCGCGGTGCTGAATCCACTGCAGCTGGCCTGCAGGGCCAGTTGTGCTCGTCTGAAACAACCACAGAGACAGACAGACGGGTGGTAACGGGAGAAGAGGCAGACTGGGTGAATAACAGATGGCTGTATTGACACAAAATACAAGTAGACAGGAAGAAAAATGGAAAAGGATCTGTTGCAAATAAGCAGAGCATCTAAGGCGAAGGACTAAAACGGTGCAAAAGAATGACAGAGCTTTAAATAATTACACACCAATTATTGTGTGTTGAGGCTGCGGCAGACAGCACCAGTGTTTCAGAATGGTGTGCAGTGTGTAGCCTCGGGTTAGGGCTATAATCAATACAACTAGTCTGACATGTATTTGTAAAGACCAGGGCATTACATGTTTTGGCAAACGCCAAACAAAACTCTTTAAATTAGTCATCTTACAGAAATTAGCAGCTATTTTTTTTTTATATGTCTTCATCTACAAGTCATTGAATTCCTGCACATTTGGGCAACGATTATATGAGCTTGTAATGTATTCCTGGGATGATGACACTGGTAAAATGAATGGCCCACAGCACAA